TAATATATATTTTTTATATATATGATTGCGAAATAGTTTTTATTAGTGTTTTTTTTTTTTAATAAAAAAATAGTCAAATTAGTATAAAGGCGACAGAATAAAGGGGAAAGGAAAATGACATTGAACACAGAACATATGAAAACATTGACATCATGATCCGGCTTTCACCAATCGATTTAAGAGCAAAAAAAAAAAAAAAAAAAATTATATATATATATATATAAATAAATTACGTATAACTAGAAAAATAACGTAATCCCCCCCACACAAATAGTGACATATTAATTAATATTTTAAATTAAAAAAAAATTCTAACAATCATTGACAAATATTGCGAAACAATTGAAATTTAACAGGAAGCGGCATTTCCTGCTTTTACAAGCACATGTTGTGTGCATGTCGAGTAATTTACTGTGCGTGTTAAGTAGTTCCAATTACATGGACTTTGGTAGGTATGTAGGCGGAACATAACTAGTATAAGTTTGTACGGAAATTTTAGATTCCGTCGAATATAGATTGATCCAGACGGACATTTCGATATTGTGCTGGAAATATAGCATCAGGCTTTTGCCTTTTTCCTTGGCTTCGCATTTATTCTACGCAGATATATTGTTCATGCCATCGACGCAATAAGGACTCTTTCTCTGTTTTTTTTTAGCCACTTTAAGTCTCTTGGAACTGATGAGAAAAGTCAAATTCGCGCAAGCTTTTATGAAAACCTTATACGAAACCTTTGATATGAAAATTATTATGAAAAATTCAAATGATATCCATTTACCGATCCAATGTGAAGAAGAAAATAATGTGTGAAGCTAAGTACTTTACTTCATATGCAATCAATCTACCTTGACTTCTTTGGCTCTTCTTATCTTATTTTTCGAATATCTGTCGCCAGTTGTGTCGCCATTAGTTAATATATTCAAATTTACAAGGATATGCTAAAGCAACATAAATTTGCTTAAAAAGAAGAAAATATAACTGAAAATTTTCCCCTTTGAGTTACGTTGAGAAATTAATGAAGGCAATGATATACCACAACAACAACAATAAATATTTGCAATAGTTTGACCGCACCTATGACATTTAAATATTATTAGTTACCGCCGCTATGTACAAACATTGTTTGCTTCATTTCCTTATTAATGCTAAGAAAACATTAAGCAGACGCCTATTGGTTTGCGAGCATATTTCGTCTCTTTGCTGTTACGGGGGTTACATCATATTTTTTATTTTTATTTTTTTTTTTCTTCTTTATCTTTATTAGATCTTATTCTTCAGCTCATTTAAGTTGAACAGACTGGACATTATTTTATTTCAGTTTACTTTCGTTATGAATATACCGCCGTGCAAACGAATTTCAAGGTCGATGTTTAATTTAACCAACTTTGATTATTGGTTTAAAATGATTAAATGAAAATGATGTAAATGTTAGTAAAAATGAAAACAAAAACTTTGCCTGCGCCAACGTTTAATACAGAATTAATTAAATATTTCAAAAATTTTGTGTTTTTTTTGTTTTTTTTTTTCTTGCTTCAACTATTAGTTGATTGACGTCATTAGTAGATTTTCTTCGCAATGTTTTTTGATATTTTTCGTTTTCCGTTTCACTCATATTATGACTAAGAAGACCTAACAGCGTCTTCCTCTACGTGAAGTGAGACCGTGTTTATTGAACTTATTACGATCAGCACCGAAAGGTAGAAATATTTTCGATTTGTTTTTCCTTTCGTAATAGGTAGGTAGTGGTAGGTATGCGAGTTTCACCACCTACCGAATTTAATTTTCTTACTTGTTTTTTTTTTTTTTAGTATGTCCAAGCTTAGTCTAATATATATATATCAAGCATAAGGATTAATGTTATTTTTGACTTTTTCATAGATCATATCAAATAATTCGAGAGTGAATTGTTCAGTAAGAACCAGTTGCCTCCTTCCTATAGGAATAGCGTTAGCAAGAAAGAAGGTATTACCGCCGTAAATGCCTAGTAGTTCCCCTTTATTTTTATTTATTTATTTTTTTTTTTTTTTTTTTGCTTATACATATTGTGCAAATGTTGTCTTGTATAGCTAGAAGATGTATCAGGTGCGGTGTACCATAGAGGAAATGTATTACATTAGTAATTAATATATTACATTGTAAATACGTATTGGTCAATATTCATATTGCTTGGCTCAAGATCAAATTTGGAAACCCGTTTAGTTATTTAGTAGCCCATGTTATTCTTTGAAATTCTTTATTAAAATAAATAATGCCTGTAAAGTCACGTGAAAAGTACCGTTAAGTTGTTAGTGATGGTTCTTAACAAAATCCCATTACAAGTCAAATATATTATCTATAATTTATATTCCGCCGTCATTATAATATTGTTTAATAGCTTTTTGGCTAAAGCGAGCGTTTGCCTTGGATCTATGATATAAGTAGAATGGATAATGTAAACAATAAAAAAAAATAAAAAAAAATGAAGAGAAAAACGGTCACCCCAGATGACATGGAAGGTGGAAAAGAAGATTTTAGAAATAATTTAACCGATTATATGCATGTTTGCTTATGTTTTGTCAAGGGAAATGCAAGAAGATATGCATTCCGTACAATGGGATGATAAATAACATTTATAAATAAATGTCTCAGGTATTGACAAATGCATCTATGTTGCTGTCATTGGTTTGGCAAATCTCCTCAAAGGAATTGATATGGAATTGTTTTTTATATGAGTTGCCATACAAGTGTACCTCGGTATTGTCTTTTAGAAATTTAAATGCATACTCTCTTCATCGCGTCGTTGTGTGCGAGAACAAGGAGAATTGAAACAAAGAGACAAGACGTGAAGGATATATGGGTCAATTGTATCGGAAATAAAACAAGTCAACACGCGGTCCCTGGCATCCTCCTATGAGTTATTGTTATATTAAACCTTCGCAGAATGTTCACAGTTTCGGTCTTGCGCCTGAAATATTTGCAGAATAGTTTTTATTTTTAAAACGGTCTGCTCACCAATTTTCTTCGTCAGGAGTTTTTATTCTCTTCCCTAAGGGAATCAAATAGATTTGCTAATGCAAAGAAAGACAGCGGTAAGTTAGCGTTAGCTAATCAAATCTGTAAAGTCGTATACAGCCATCACGAGGGCTAATGTAAGTAATAGAACTTAAAGTGTTACTCTATGAAATCTTTCCTTTGACTAATTGCAACCTTCGCATTTGACTGGGTAACTGATGGTTCTATCGATAAATTTGTGCATTTGTTTGGCTAACTTTAAAGGCGATAAACGATCCTTTATATCGTGGCGACCGACTATTCACTAATACATGCAGAGATGTAAGATGCAGAGTATGTAAGTCCACATTTCCACATTTCCACATTTTTTTTTTTTTTTTTTCAAATCCTACGTACCTTAATACGTATATGATATTATTTGCTACATATATATATATTATAAAGGAATGGAAAGAATGCCAAATATGTGATGGCGCTCTTCGATGATACGATTTAAAGAAGAAAACGCACGACTAACGGTACTAGATCGAGCTAATACATTTTACACTTTTTTCAACTGAACCAGACTTTAAAATCTCAATCTCAATGATTGTGGCATGAGAACGTTTGTGCTCGCATTTTTCGAATTCGATTGAAAAAATCAATCGGATACAGCTTTGCCAATAACATTTGAATCGATATCATACGATTGTTTGACATTTTGTATAACGATTTCTAATTATTTCCAACTATGTATGTCAGCCCGGAGACTTATTAAGTGATTATGACTGAACGGAACTTACTTAATTGTTGCCATTAAAAAAAAAAAAAAAGAAGCAAAATGAACGATATCGAGGAACAAATTTTTGGTCGTTCGTTAGTGGTTAACTGTTTACTATTTGTTCGTTATACCCTACACCAGAGAATATATTAAGTTAGCGCGGTCATATGTAACACGCAGAAGGGCTTAAGATAGACCCGCATTTTATTATACCGATCGATTCGGAATCAGAATCTGAATTGATTTAAGTCTGACTGTCCGTCTGATATATGCCCATGTAATATTGTATTCAAACTATAGGTCGCAATTTTTCACATATTTTGATAAAATTTGATGCAATGACGTGTTTTGATCCAAGGACGAACGCTATTGAAAATGGATCGGATTTTTCAAATTTTCTCGGCAAAAGCGGCTAAATAGTACTATTTCGGCATTTCAAAGTAGTATGAAAACTTTGGACCGGTGGGGAAATTTTTGAATCCCCACTCATATAACGAAAACTGAAGTTCCCGCGGTAAGAAGGTATAATTTCCAATGTTTTACGATGAAAATTATATCACAATAGTAATTTAGCATAAAAAAATCAGAAAATTGACCCTTAACCCTATGCACTCGAGGGCTCCTTAGCGGAGCCATTTAAAATTGGTCGTCAAACTCGAGGGCTCCGCTACGGAGTCATTGTAAATAATTTACAGTTCATAATATAAAAACAAAAACAAATCGTAAAAACTAGTATTCGGGTGTTTCGCTGTTGGTGACAAATGACGGTCGCGGCTCGCGGACTGTAATACGAATGAAGAAAAACTTCGAGTGCAAATGACAATGTGATATAAGATATTTAATATTCGGCCTTGCTTTTGTTCTAGATTTGCTTGTCTTTTGAGTAACACTTTCCTAACTTTGGATGTCTTTAACCAAAAAGATTTCTTCATATTTAAGATTTTTTAAGGTTTGGATATCACTTTTCTTGGCTTGGAATACTCTCGCTCTTTCACTTATCGTGATCTTTTCTATTTTGTTTTTTTTTTTTTTATCTTTACACAATTGCATACACAATTATATTTATTAGCGTGTAAGTCCAAAAATATTTGCACGAGTGACGCCGTACTAAACCTTGGCCCTATCTCTGCTCGCAGATATAATTATTATTATTATTATTATTATTATTATTATTATTATAAATTTAGACAGAGCATAAATTTTAAGACTAAAGTCTTAAAGCGCTAGCATCTAAGGCTTTCGGCTTTTATTGAAAAACTCTACCGCACTTGAGATTTGAACTCACGACCATTGGGTTACTAGTCGAGACTTTTGTGTACTCGGTCACCCAGGCGTGTTTGCAGAGAGAGCTATTTACTTTCGCAATATTCTAGGAATGAAATATTTCTCCTTTGTTCGTTTAACTTAAAAATCCCAAAATATCTTTTTATGAAAAATTTCATATAATTTTCTGTAAGAAAATATTAATTTAATATATTCGTGGAATGAGAACAATTTATTGCACAATTGTTCCTTTAATATTTTATATATCTTTTTTCATAACTTGTACATTAACGACGACCGACCATTGAACTTCTCCCTCAATTTGGGCTTTTATTCTATAAAAGCCTTCTGGCAAATGATTAGGAAATGCTTCATCGGAAAAACTGCAATTATCCAGTTCGTATCGTTTCTTTTCAACAGGTCCCGCAAATTTGTCGGTAAAGACTGGCAAATTGGAACATTCTGATAACGATTTCATAATCATGTCCTTATAAAGTTCATTTAAAAACTTAATGATACTTTGACGCGGGACACTGTATGGTAGTAGTTGATAATCACTCTCACTTCCAGTTGAACTACGGTAGGCCAAAACTTCTATCTAAAGGATCAAAAAAAAAAAAAAAAAAAAAAAAAAAAAAAAAAAGGAAAGTAAAAATGTTCAAAATTACTCATAAATAAGATCTTACGGTGTTATCGTCACCCTCCGCTATATCATAGTTCAGCTCAGCAAATCCTGTTATAGCTAAATCTGTGCGCGTTAGGTGCTTTACTTTTATTTCACCGTTAAATTTATCAGGATCCTCAGATTCGAGGGTGCAGGACAATAACTCATATGTCCAGGTTTTCTAAAATAATAATATTAATATGAATAAAGTTTAATTTAGTTTTTGAATTAATTTTTTTTTTTTTTTTACCTTTGTAATGACCATCGCTTGAAACCCTTTTAAACTGAGACTAGATATATAAAAAATTATTAAAAATGCACTGACTTTGAACATTTTCTTGTTACACTTCAAACTTGAAACGTATTTCAATTTTCAATAACAAACTGTTTGAATTTGAAAATTTATTTGATCACTTCTCCTTTATATGGCGAATGTAAGGCCGAAGGCAATTGAAAACAATGCAACTGGGATTAGTTAGATTGATTGACATGCAAATGTCATGCAGTTGTCAGAATTTCTAGTCAACTTTTGCAACATCCGGTCATTGATTTTTAACTATCGTTGTTATTATTGTTTTTTTTTTTTTTTTTTTTTTTTCTGTTAAGGAAAGTCGAAGGAAGAAGGAGGAACGCAAAAACAAACGTTATTGTTTCGCGAAATATTTAAATAAGATATCGGTACCTTCCTGATTATGTAATTTTTTTATTTTTTTTTCAGAAAAACAATATATCACTGCAACAAGTTTACAAACATTATATAAAAAATTTTGTATGAATGTGTGTGAAGTGTTTGAAGACTGCAATTTTTACAAGTGTATGTTACGTAATGAGATTTTCTATTAAAGTACCTCCCAAAGTATGCAAAAATTTATACATAGGCGGTTACGTAAGCGGACAAATTTCATTATATTTCTGATTGAAGGCTTTTGTTAGCTTATTGAGGCCATATTTATATTGCTTTGCACTTTTAGTTGGGATTGCGAAGTATTTGCATTAGATTTTATAGTAATATATCTTATGGACTTTAGGTGGCATCCTTTTGTTCATTACGATCACCTTTTTTGATTAAATCAAATCAAACCAATTTTTCCCCTCAATTTTTTCCCAATATTTACACTCTTATGATTGAGTAACGTGTACATATATAAGAGTTAAAGAATATTATTATTTTCTCGATATCTCTTTGATAAAAAAAGACTACAAAGAGAGAGTCCCCCATGAGTGTTATTTGTCATTATGAAATGGAAATAGATCCGATTTGAAATATCTTGCTTCTATTTTTTAACTTTTTTATAAATATTTATCGAAAGATGTCAAAAGAAAAATTCAAACAAACCTACAATTGTAACTGATCATGACAGATCGGGGCGATCGGATTTCATTGTGTTCAAACGGAAGATGCTCGCATTTTGTCAACAATGAGGAAACGCAATAGCAAATCATGAATATATCTGTACCGAAGAAATATCCCAACAACAACATTATTATATTAGCCGTGTGTGCAAAACTGTGACATTGCAAAGTATTTTGCTAATTGTACGCTTTCCGGAGATAAGCAATCCTTTCTGCACTTATCTTCAGATCTGCGAAGCCTTGTGTGCACTCTAAGTTACACTGTTTGGCCTATTACTAATAAGTTTGCTGCAAGTAACTGCACATATTCCATGTCAAAAGCTTTATATGGATATATGTATCTATATTTTTGTCCGAACAAATTGATTTGTATTAAAAAATTACGTTCAAATCTTTAACGGAGAACTTAAGCTTAATAAACTTTTCAATGCTCATTAAACTTTATCGAAGACAATGAATATATGTATAAATGTATATATTACTATTGTCTTTCGTATACTTGAATTCTATTTTGTTTTCTTTTTTTTGTTTTCACTGAAGAAGCTGTTGAAACATAGGTAGAAGATTCCTTCTACCTTTCTCATCTTGCTTTAAAATGGTAAAAATTCACTTGTCTCCTGATATTGAAAAAACAGAAAAAATCGAACTTGTGTCTTATTGTTTATCGTTGTGTGTGTGTGTGTATGCCTTGGCCATTACTTTTGTCGCCTTTACACAGTGACTTTAAATATTTGTAAATCCTACAAGTATGCTATAAAGTTTTTAAGTTATTTTTTTGTAGCTTGTAAATTGTGATCAATTTAAATTTAGGTACAGATGTCGAAGGTTTATTTCATTGTAAGAAAAAAAAAAAAACAAAAAAAACTGCTTCTCAAAGGCGAAGTACTTTAATAAATTTGTCAAGTCATTTTACTTGAAATGATCATTAAATGATTAATATCAACCTATGAACATATGGTTCTTGTTCACAGATAAAAAAAAAAAAAAAAAAAACAAAAGACTTATTGATCACTAAAGCAATAAACAAGATAACTTCATAGCTGGCCCTAGAGTTCGGCTTAGAAGAAAACATACATGTATATTGCTTTCTATTCTAATTTCAAACTCACAAAGGATATTTATTTAGAACTTGATGCAAAGATTTCCACCTTAAAAATTGTACCGTTAAACATATATCTCAAAATTTTGATGTCTTGGTTCGATGAGATGGACATGAAAAACGAATCGCAATGACATTAAATGAATGTGAAAATAAATTCGAATTTAATTAGCAAAGATATCTACCATCTCTGTTAACAAAACTCTGTTAATGACTTAACAGATCTCTGGTAAATAATTACAATTGAGATATAATTGGATTTAAAAGCCTACTCCATCCATATTGAACAACGTAAAATATTTTTGTGAACATCTGCATGAAAATACCTTTCAAACAAACTAAACAAATTCAAATTCTGCTTATGGGAACTATTTGTAACAATTTTTTGAAATATGGTATGTTTGCGAAAAATGGGTATGGAAGAGCACCCGAATCAGAGACTCTAGTGCGGCCAAGCTAGAAAATGTCAACTGCATTCGTCTTATTCAACATGAATCTATATAAAAGAGGAAAGAGGAAAACTGAGTTAAATTCTATTTTAATTTGCAGTAAGCTTTCAGTAAATCGAATATTGATGTATGCACACGATGTTGATTTGGTTAGCTAATGCTGATTAAATACGTATAAAAATGTGCAATGGTAACATCTATTACATACCTTGGCCTTCGTTTTACAAAATAATTTTGGAGCTGTTAGGTTTGAGCGTATAGCAAACGCCCTTAAGGAGTGCTTTACAGTTTTGAATTGTTCTTGCAAAGTTATTGCGCTAAGCGCGCAATTAATCATGAATTATTGTTACGAAATTATGAATAGAAATAATGCACCAAACAAATCAACTATCACACTTAGGGTTCTAAGTTAATTGACGGCATGACCCTGACTGAAAAGACGTGACAACCGTTATAATAAATCGTGATCAGAAAGACGTAAATATTCTTACGAATTAATCAAAACCCTTAACGATATTTCGAAATGTTGTTGTTCAGCTTGTTACACGCCAGTGACGTTGTAAAAAGCGAACTGGCGGTATAAGGCAATTTAATAAGCTGCTTGTGATTTTAATTGCAATTATAATAAGTATATTACTATGATTAAAAAATAAAGTGAATTTAATTGAAAACTGAAAAATCTTTATTTACTCTACCAAATCCCCGATTTCGTCGCCTTGTAGGCACTCCCAATCCGGTTCAATGCAATTATGCCAACGCTTTTTTCCTTGCCCGAACCGGTCAAAGAAATTTTTCTACGAGACGATGATCTTCATTCGATTCGGTTTTTATGCTTTCAATCCAGTCGGAGTCGGAGCTGTGTTCCCAAATTTATTGAAGAGCCCAATGTCACATAATGCCGCTAAATTACGCAAATGCTGTGGTTATGAAAAGGTAAAGGACGAATTTTCTATGAGATGTTCTTGAAAAACAAATACAAAGTTTGAACGCTTTTGGAACTACTCGAGGCTTGAAAGGTATTGCGGAATTGGCTAACTAGGATTGTATGGTTGCTCCGATGGCAAGAACGACTATTTCGCTTAAAGTAAAGCTAAAGTCTTTATAGACTAAATTTAACCTCCACCGGGATCGGGTGGTAGAGGGGAAAGCATTAATTGAACTGCAAATTGGTGCTTGTCAAGGTCCACCGCGGGAAAGCTTTCATATTAACAGATCATGCGGAAACTGCGGTGGCAGCTGGTATGCCCAATCACATTTTGAACACAGCAGATAACCAATGTGTGAGTCCGGACAGCTGAGTATGTTGCATTGGGAAGTACCGTTATAGCTGTGATTTTTCATCATTTCTAAAGCCAATAATTAAGAGGTAATGATAGGTCTCAACATTCTCCTGAGTCCGTTTATTGGGCCATACCGAGTTTTTCGGGTGCAGTTTAGTCCTCTAGGTTATAGGAGGGCACCGGTTACGCAAAATTAATTCGCCTAAGATGAATGAGGGTTAATAAACGATGCGCACGTTAAGCAAAAGGAACATCTGTCTGTCAATCAGCGGCCACCAATTCGAGCACCAAATCTCTGGTTTCCTTGTGTTGGCTTTCATTGATAGATATTAATGGCCACCCATTTTGCGCTCCTTCATGACTTTCATTAAAATCTCTATACCACTTGTAAACATTTTTTTTTTTTTGTTGCGACATATCGACATCGTCGAAAACCTTCTGCAACATAATCCATCGTTTCCCCGGCAGAATATTCATACCGCAGGCAAAAGACGAAAAACGCACTTTTGTACGGTTACGAAAACACGTGCAACTCTGTAGCAGTTGAATATATTGTTATGGTATTCTGCATAGATGTGAAAGGCAGTACTATCAATCGACAAGGAAAAAATATATATATATATGCATATATATATATATATATATATATATATATTCACGACCTTATTGTACCCTCGCAGGGTAAATGAAAAATGAGTCTTAGTTTTTAGATTACAATGCTTATAAGCTGATTAACTACTTCATTGGTATTTTATTAGAAAAGACACTTGACCTCAAAATATAATTAAAAAGTAATAATAAGCAATACATATGCACACATGCACATATATTGTCTGTACTTATAAAAAGCAAAGCAGTAAGCTGCTTAGCTCAAAAATCCAAGTCTAAATGTTATATTTTTGCTTAAATGGAACATAGTTCGATGATAAATTTTAAATTAAGGAGATTGTTTAAACAATAATCAAGGTTTTTATGATCGAAACATTTCAACTCATACCTTTATGCCTATATTTAACAAAGTTAAGAAAATAGTTTTCCCAAGTATTCCTTAGAAAAGAAAATTTCGGTTGAATTTATTCGAATTTATCAATGACTTATATAAAATTCTTATATGAGAGCGCAAAAATCGAGTTCATTTGAAACCAGAAGGACTGGGTCACTCTTTCAATGCAATATATTAATAAAAAAAATTGTTGAAATGACGTAAACATTCTAAGCTATTTTCCAAAATGTAAATGATGATGATTTCCTTTCGACATTGCTGATTATAGTGAGGTGAATTTTCAATTCAATTTAAACGAAGGGTTGCACGGTGTCAGACAAAATTGCAGCCATGTCAAGCTTGCGTAAATATCGATAAAGTGAGTGATTTGAAAATACAAAAGTCCCGGTACTTTTTGTACAGGACGTATATAATTTAAAAAAATTTTGAAAAGTTATTTGACATGCGAGTGATGCAGCGAAGCTAGATATTGAAATTGAACAATGTTTAAATTTGAAAGGAAAAATTTTGTTTGTTTGTTGTTGGCCCTGTTAACTGAAAAGCATTATAATAGCGCCTACCCGTTGAATTGTGATTCCGGTTATGTTAATTACTGAAGCGTTTTTTTTTTATTTTTTTATTTTTTTTCTTCTTTGTTTTTTTCCGTTTGCATATATCAATAATCCGTAAGACAATTAAAGATTACACAAGTAATTAACACAGATTGAGGGAATTCCGCTTCTTAACAAAAGCAAAAAAAAAAAAAAAAAAAAAAAAAAAAAAAAGTAATAAAGCTAATTTCGGTTGGGACCGAATCTTTTACACCCATCATCGTTTAGTCCAAAAAGACACAAAAGAAGTAAAAGAACAAAAATTCTCATGCTCTGTAATATGGAGTGGACGCAGCTGATATTTTCTATTGTCAATATTAAAGTCTTCGTCGTAGAGGCATGTGGGCGTTGTGGGCGTGTCTATTGAAAATTTTAGATCAATTACAAATTTTTTTTGCAAATTTTCAGGCGATATCTTCACTTTCGCTAAATACTACAAAGTTGCGCAAACAGACGGATGGACAGACAAACAAGCGGGCGTGTTTAGGTGCTTTCTAAATTTAAAAGTACCCAAGAATTTATATACTTTATGGGTTTTTTGAAATTTGTTTCTGTTGAAAAAAATTCAATTTTGATATACTATAATATTGCATAGGCATGGTCAATTTTTTCCATTTTAATACAGACGCAACAGCATCGTACATAGAATGCGCAATCAAATTTTGGGACACTTATTTGCTGTAGTGCATGAGTAATGAACAAGCAATCACTTTTCATTCCCTTTGAAAAACAGAGGTGTACTCAGTTCACATGGTGCTGTGGCCATTTTCAACAACAACCTGCGTGCAAGAACTTCCACTGCTTCTATCAAATTTGAAATCGTTAGCTTCATATTTGCGGCCATTAAAATATTTACAACCGTTATTACAGGGACAGACAGACGGACATGCTTAGATCGACTTGGAATTTGACGCTGATCAAGAATATATACATATATATATATATATATATGCTTTGGGGGATCGGTGATGTTTGCTTTAGAGCGTTGCAAACGTTTTGACAAAATGAATATACCACTCATCTTACCGATGATGGGTATAAAAAATGGAAAAAACAAGAATATGTTAATGATGTTATAAAGAACTCTTTCTTGGTTGAATGTTCTTATTTATATATATGTAAAATCAAAGAGAACGATTATGTGCTTAGAATGAATATATTTGTATGCGCTATATATATGCGCTATGTATATATATATTTTCGTATAAAAAAGCGCCAGCAAAATTTTCGATTATCCTAATGTTGTTACTAAAATGCTGTGCATTTTATTTCAATTTCAATTTCGATGGGCAGTTAGTTGTACGTACATCAAATAGAATGGAAAAATTCCTACTGCCCGGTAATAGGTATCGCATGAATAAATAGTAGAAGAGTTATTAATAAGTGTACGTGACTCTCACGACAATTCACGGATAAAATTTTAAGAAGAAAAAAAAAACTTGATTTTTTGATTTTGCCACCACCGGCTTAACTTTGTATTCACATTATGTCCAAAATGCTATAAGCAAGCAATGTTACGCTTAAGTAGAAGAAAGAGATGGAAGCGAACAGAATTTTTTAAATTATACCGCATTACTAACAACTGGCGACTGTTGCTTCTCTAAGCAAAATATATATATAAAATATATATATATATATACATATATAATTACAGTCAAGTCTTTGTTTATGCAAAATTGCTTCAAACTTTTTTCAAGCAAGCTTTGCTTGCACCCCGAACGTTGTCATGCTGAACTATAACGCTATCATTTTTTTTTTTTTTTTTTTTTTTAGGCATATTAGGTGATGTCTTCGTTAGACTGAAGCGCATTTCGGAAAAATATCTTTATTTGAAAGATATAATCACATATACGCTTATCGTTTGCACTGTATTGAGATAATTTATTTATTTATTTATATATATATATATTTTTTTTTTTCATTTTATTTTATTTAACATGCAATAATATAATCAATCAATGTGGGTCAATGGCTGTTAAATATATTATGATTAATCATTAATTACTTCCGCATTATAATATGTCTGTCGCGATTAAATTTATTTGTTATTGTTATATAATTTCTTAGTGTTAATCGTTAAATCGTGACATTTACTACGTAGAGTCTAAGCTCAGCCTAATTTTAATTTGAAAATTGGACAGATTGGTGAAAGAAGCTTTACACCTTGCCGAGGCATAAATTAAAAGTGAACTAAAATTATCTACGCAAATGTCTCAAGCAATAGGCGGGCGCGACGTTACCCTAACTAATTTCTTTCTTTTCGCAAATGTTCGTCGAAAGGAGAAGACAATCGAATGCCACGAAGAAGGGCTCTGTGTAAGATCACATTGAAGGAATTGCGCTATGAAATTGCGCATGAAGCATATATCATACGCCCGACATCAGGCCTACTCTCATGCTTTTGCTTTATGCTCTCTCATGTATATCTTAAAAAGAAAATTTTCATCTGGCCATCTTCATCCGCCAATTGAGAAATGCTTTAATTGCAAGACCGGTGAAATACCTTAAGGGGAATATACGAAAGAGTAAAACTAACTATTCTTTAAAGCGCAAAGTTGATCTACCAGTTTTACTATGCAATTTTTTCACTTAACCTTTTTTATAAACCTAATTAAGTTGCTTAAGGTGCTTAAGGTGACGAACGATAATAAAATATATGTATACATGTGTTTATGATTTGTTAACAATAATCGTGCAAAAAAAAAAAAAAAAAACAAAAAAAACGAAGAGATTAGTAAGCATGCTAATGTTTTCCCTGGAACCCTTACTAATCTCTTCGTTTTCTTGGTTTGTTTTGCTTGCCTTAGCATATTTGCTGTTTTTTTTTTTTTTTTTAATATTTTTTTCTATTTTCACTTATATTCAAAAAGTTTTCCGTACGGATCACGCATGAATGTTGCCATTTATAAACCTTTTCGCCTAAGGGTCCCTTTCAATCCTAAATATAATATTTCAACGGATCTTTACGTAAAGTTTCTGCAATGGCAGTCATTAGCTAATTAACGCAAGTTATACGAACAAAAAAATATCTGTAACTTTGGTTGTGCTACTGAATCACTTTTAATTTTTTGTCATTTAAATATTATCTACGATTGGTTGCGAATACACTTTGTGTGTGTGTGTGTGTGTGTGTGTGTGTGTCAAACAAACAAAATGACAAAAATGACAGAGAAAAGCAAAGCGAACAAATAAATACCCTACGTCGGTGTTTTCATGATGTAACCGTAAGACTAAAATCTAGATCTTGTAGTCTAGGTGTGTGGTTGTCGCATTTCTGTGTCACAGAAGCTTCAAAATCTACTCTCAATATTATTTTAAGCACAATATCGCCAAGTAACATAAAAAATAGCGTATTTTTTTAATGAGCTAACACATGGCCTTGTAGCGCCACCTTCAGTCGACATACGCTGGCTCAATTCGCGCAATTTATTTGCAATTGACATATGGCCGCAGCGATAATATATACTTAACAACAACATGCAAACACCTGTCAGACTGCGCTGATACCCTAATACCCTCCCAATCAATATCTTCTTTCCTGATCATCACTTCACTACTTATTCATATCAAGGGAATATCCTCTGCTTGCTGGGATATACTTACTATATATTCAAAATTACCGGTAATTACCGATTACGGCGGAAATATTTTCTTTATTAAACTGTTATCGGTTTTAAGTTTTGCTAAACATGGCCAAGATCTTTTTCAAACTATGGCGACCTGCTAAGCAAAAAAAAATTATTTCTCATAATTTACTTGAATGCAATGAATTTATCAAAGTTCGGTTCGAAGAGTAGAAATTAAGTTAAATAATACTTACAATTATCGACACAATAAGAGAGGATAAGCAGCAGAAAATTACCTGAAAACAGAACAAAATTACTTTGTTTTTTTTTTTTTGTTTTTTTTTGCCTACAAAATAATTGCATTGCAAAAAATTTATATATATTTTTATGGAGAATTGTATTTTTGTTCGTTTCTCATTTTATTGCAGACCGATCGATCACTAATGTTCAAAATTTTCTCCATTATTTCAGGCTCAACTAATTTTATGCGCTTATCATGAGTAAGCGTAAAAAAATTTGCAAACACTAAGTGAACGAGTGGAATTTAGTTAAAAGATGGTCTTAAATCTGCTATTTATAACGACGGTCATCAAATCCACGTTCGGTGTGGTTACAACAGGGCTATGGTTGATACCTTTACTTTTGGCCGCAATAACATACTACAAATACGATCTTGTCGATCCTGAGTCTAAAGTACATGACGAAACAAATCTTTTCGGGGAATACGATTTTGTTGTTATAGGTGCTGGTTCGGCGGGTGCTGTGGTAGCAAATCGTTTAAGCGAGATTCGCAAATGGAAAATATTGTTAATTGAGGCGGGACCCGATGAAAATGAGATATCTGATGTTCCGTCATTGGCTGCTTATTTACAGCTTAGTAAACTTGATTGGCAGTATAAGACGGAACCTTCAAATAAAGCTTGCCTGGGTATGAAGAATAATCGATGCAATTGGCCGCGTGGTAAGGTTTTAGGCGGCTCCAGTGTCCTCAATTATATGCTCTATGTGCGTGGCAATCGTCACGATTACGATCATTGGGAGGCCCTAGGCAACACCGGCTGGAATTATGATAATGTTCTTCATTATTTTAAGAAATCAGAGGATAATCGTAATCCGTATTTGAGTAACAGTCCTTATCATAGTACCGGAGGTTATTTAACCGTACAAGAATCACCATGGCATTCACCTTTAGTGGCAGCTTTTGTGGAAGCAGGCAATGAGCTTGGCTATGAAAATCGCGATATTAATGGTCAACAGCAAACTGGCTTCATGATAGCTCAAGGAACAATACGACGAGGATCACGGTGTAGTACGGCGAAGGCCTTCTTAAGGCCAATAAGACAACGCAAAAACTTTCACTTATCTATGAACTCTCAAGTAACTAAAATCATATTCGAACCGAAAACAAAGAGAGCCAGAGCAGTCGAATTCATTAAACAAGGACAAATGAAAAAGATATTGGCGAAAAGAGAAATTGTTTTAGCGGCCGGTGCCATTAATACACCGCAACTACTTATGTTGTCTGGTGTTGGGCCTCGCAAGCATTTAGATAAACTCGGTATAAAAGTAATACAGGACCTGCCGGTGGGGGAAAACTTACAAGATCACGTGGGAATGGGTGGAATGTCATTTTTGCTAAATAAGCCCGTTTCGATAGTCCAAGATCGCTTTAATCCCACCGCTCTTACATTTCAATATGTTTTGCGAGAACGTGGGCCCATGACTAGCTTAGGCGGTGTAGAAGGTTTAGCTTTTGTGCACACACCGTATTCAAATCGTTCGCTTGATTGGCCAGATATACAATTTCATATGGCACCCGCTTCAATCAATTCAGACAATGGAGCACGCGTTAAAAAAGTATTGGGTCTTAAGGAATCTCTTTATCAGGAAGTTTATCATCCCATAGCCAATCGAGATACTTGGACTATAATGCCTCTGCTATTAAGGCCGCGTTCAAGAGGCTGGGTACGCTTACGTTCAACTAATCCATTTCATTATCCACTTATCAATGCGAACTATTTTGATGATCCCTTAGATGCGAAGACTTTAGTCGAAGGAGCGAAAATAGCTCTGCGCATAGCAAATGCCAAAGTTTTCAAACAGTTTGGTTCAAAAATTTGGCGCAAACCTGTACCCAATTGCAAGCAACATCAATTCCTTACTGACGCTTATTTAGATTGCCATATACGTACGATATCGATGACCATATATCATCCATGTGGTACGGCAAAAATGGGGCCAGCGTGGGATCCAGAAGCAGTAGTTGATCCCCGGTTAAGAGTTTACGGTATTCGTGGTTTACGAGTGATAGACGCCAGCATTATGCCCACTATTAGTAGCGGTAACACTAATGCCCCTGTTATAATGATTGGCGAAAAAGGTGCCGATCTAATCAAGGAGGATTGGTTCCATAACCCTGAATATAAAGCAGCTACGATTAGCTAACACGAGTCCAAGTTTTCTACGATTTCAAAATCTACAGCAATCAGGTGGTATACGATAAGCTTTATTAGTTGTTGTTGTTGTTGTTCTTTTTATTTTTTTTGGTTTTTTAAACAACATAGTTGCCATTGTAGTATAATTTTTATAGTAAAATGAATTTTATTTAATCAAAAAAAAAAAAAAAAAAAAAATTGTAATTTTAAAAAATATATTTATATTTAAATGTGTAAAAAGTTATTTATATGTAGTTACTATCGTTATTATGCTCATTTAATTTTGATGACCCACTATTCATTAATTGCCTTTTCAAAAAGTATCAATAAATCCTTTATTTAATATTTTTCCAAATTAATTTTATATTGTAATTATTTCTAATAATATAATGAAATTAATAATAGAAAAAAAAATTGTCGAAGAATAGTTAAAGCTAAATTTCTCTAAATTAATTGATTTAGATCAGCGGGAATGTGTCTGAAATTCAACCGTTAGGCCTCAAATGGAAATGCAAAATAATAAAACTGACGAGAAGAGGTAAGTTCGGACCGAGTAGATAAGCAACTAATCGTAAGGCATAAATAAAAATCACTGCAAGGATCGTCGACACATAAACTAAAGTATACAACTAGAAACTTGGCATTACTTGATTCTCGCTTCACGTTAACGATGAAAACAAAATAATGTTAAACATCCCGACAGAAGATCTAAAGTCAGTTTACGTTAAACGAGTGAGCCTCAATTAAGATAGAGATAGCGTTTCGAAGCCCTCTCCCGAAATGATTTTAATCGTCCCTCCCTCCAAAAAAAAAAATTCATTGGATATCTTCAATTATTCGAAGCCATTTTTCGTTGTCAATACGTCAATGTTCCAAGTCGTTACAACGCCGCTGCTTTAGGCAAGGTGATAGCATCTTATATATGACGGCTGTTATGAAGAGATTTAATAAGATTTAACTCATATTTTCGTTTCAAGTTGATGCGGTTGGTTTTCGTAAGGCAGCATCAGATGACTCCTCTTTGGCCACTTTTGTTCCGTCAGGATCCAAATTTTTATTCCAAATCCAAATCTAAATCAATTTAACAATTTTTTTTTTTTCAACATTCGCGACATGTGCAGAGAAGTTTGCAACGATTGTCAAGTCAAGTTTTTGATTGCCTACCAGGGTGTAAATGAAGCATTTTTTAAGCGTTTAAAATGCTTTCTCCAAACCACATATTAACGAAATCAAAATTCACGACAATTTACTCTTACCAGTGAACTTCTTCGTAAACAGTGTTCAAAGGCATATAATCTAGCAATCTAAATAAAATATTTCATCATTTTAATCATAAGTAATATAATTGAGTAATATAGCAGAGTAAATTGGAAAATTTAATAATCAGTATAACATCAAATATTAGCGAAATATAAGCGACTGCTGGTCGTGATGAGTTTTCACCAAAAATTTTTGGATAATATATAGGTGAGAAGAGACTATCAGTCAGTAGACTATCTAACAGAATTTTCGACAAAGTGAAAAAAAAAGTGGTGGCGATGCCATTCGAATGCAAACCATTCAGATATATTCAATCATTCATTTATAGTTCATAAAACCCGATTAAATTGCCAGCCTATTAAACACTAACATTAACGATAACGATAACGATAGGAATCGTTCTCGTCTAAGTTATTAATCATTAATGGGCTAATAAATCAAGTAACAAATACGATAGCCATTAAGTCACAACAACATTTTGTACTATTTTATTATTTTATTATTTACTTATTTTATATTTACTCTATTATAAAGGAAGCATGATTTACAGTTGACGTCAAGCATTTCGATAATGAATCAGATTTATAATATATGGTAGGTTGTTACGGTTGGGGTGGAAAGCGGTTGGCATTATAAAAAATAAATTATGAACTGTGTCGCCGTGAATAGAAAAAAATATGTGTAAAATTTATTTTATATAAATTGTACGTTAATTAAAGCGATTGATCAGTGACAAGAGAAAATAAACGATATTACGACAACGTCATCGTTCTCTTTAATAAACAATTGACAACTAACTGAATTGCTATGATTATGATGAGTAAACAATAAATTTACGGAAAGCATAGCTACAATGGTATAAATTGGATTAATGTATAAATAAATTGAATAAATAGTTATTATAATGATATCCCCAGCCAGGAATATTATAATCGGTTAATAGTCGAATATCGAAAGATAATCACAAGCATACCTTAAAGTCGTAGGGTTCAAGGAAACGCATCCATTTTTCATTAGCTCTTGAGAATATCATAAAGAATTTTTACATCACTTGTCTGTTGCACACCTGTCTTTAATTAATCCGATCGATTCTGAATCGACTTACACTTCACTAGAACATTATAGTCGTTCAAGGCTGACCGTTAAATACCCTACATCACATTGTCTAACACAATTCTTATTTTTATTATAGAATACAAAAATTATATCTTGTTTCTATATAAAGACATATTTTTTTTACATGTGCCTATTTATGGGGAAATGGGCCCAAAACGCAACGTAATGTTAGACAAATTTAATTTTTAATAGGCATAGATAACCCGAAATTTTGTATAATTCATTTTAGTATGAAATTACTCTTATGAGTCAATTTTTATCACCACATATGCAATTTGGACTTTTCTGCTCTATAAAAGATCAATTTTCGTGAAAATCCTTGTTAGGGTAAAATCCAAAATATAGGCTGAGATGATTCAAATTTGGTACAGTTAAGTTGTTTATGTTAATTTGTTATTATGATATAATTTTTATCACGAAGCATTGAAAATTTTGTAGCATAAACTGAGAGGGGATTCAAAAGGAGATTCAGCTGGTCCAAAAGTTTTCGTACCAATTAAGTATACCGAAATGCTGCTTAGCCATTTTTGTCGAGAAAATTTTCAAGATTACAAATTGATTGAAAAAGTAGACAGATCCAAGCGTTCGTCCTTGGGCCAAAACACGTCATTGTATCACAGTTTTTCTCAAAATATCATTAAAATTGCGACCTGCAACTTGAACACAAATGTACATGGGCAGACATCAATCGGACAGACGAACAGACGGACAGACAGACTTAGATCAATTCAGATTATGATTCTGAATCGATCGGTATAATAAAATGTGTGTCTATCGTCAACCCTTCTACGTGTTACATACATCCGCACTAACTTAACATACCATGTATCACAAGTATTGTAGCGTATAACAATAATTTCTACTATCAGCGTCATTTAAAATGAAATGACATAGAAAGTATATCGTAAGTTCTTTGATCGTGAATGACTTAGGAAAGAAAGTTTCCGGTCTTCGCTGTGTGTTCGGCACATGCGAAAGTGTAAGCGTGCTTACAATTTACATTTATGCATATATACATGTATTTCACAATATCAGCAAAAAGTTCTTACGTCTCCATGTTTTATATCGCATTACGTTAGTATTCTTATGAAAAAAATTTCAAAATATATATTGATTGATATAATATTTAAATAATAGTAATAGTATAACGAATAACTGGTTGGTGAACGAAATTGCCAAATAAGTAAACTTAATCTGTTGTTAAGGTTCTTTAGCGATATTTTGCAAATGCATTTGACACTAGCAGTAAGTAATGGCAGTTACGATTCGAGCCTTAATGCACACATATAACTGTAAAAGTTATTAATTCGAACGAATCTATTTACATGTGTTTCCATGTGTGTGTGTGTGTGTGTGTGTGCCGCTCAGTAGATTACAATTTCAAACTGTCGCTTACGGGAGGACATTCGATCTGAAAATTCGACTTGGACGGACAAATCCGAAATATGATGATTGGTAGACGATCTTCCTACAGTGGTTATGAAATAATGTATCGAAATTTGTATTTTCTGAGCTTTTCTGTAAGCAAATAGCGTACAGTAGCTAATGGTGTGAATATGACTAAATACGAGTCATAGCGAAAATGAATTTTTTACATATTTTTGTTTTTTTACAAAAAAAAAAAAAAAAAAAAAATATTTCACTTATTTTGTCTAGCGTTTGTCCGAATCTTAGCAAGTCAAGGCTTACATGAACAATTCTTTAGGTAATAAGTAGCTTTCATTAAATAACAACGTGTGTTTACGCCACGGTAGTTAACGGCAAAAAAGCTTTACAATTTTTTGGCTAGTTTTCCGATGCAAATGGCATGCAACTAATTGTCTATATGTATGTGGTCGTCTTTGACCGAAATTTTCATTTCATTTCATTTCAGTGTTTTTTTTTTTTTCTGTTTTTTTAATATTAAACGAATTGCACACACAAACTCAGTAACTAGTTCTCAGTAACTATATATGCGCAAAATTGGTAAACGTGAGTGATTAACCTTAAGTATGCGAACATGAAATTTACTTAAATTAATATTGATTGTATCGACTCAGTCAGCATGCGATTCCATTTATTGACAGTGACGCTTGATATTCATACAAAAACTCGTAATTAATTTGAAAAGTTTTCCAATCACACCAACTGTTACCGAAAATTAGTTGAGGGTAATTTTGCCGTTAAATCGCGGTACGCATCAGATAAAAAAAATTTTGATTTTTGCATCGAAAAATCATTTTAGCTGAAAAAAAAAAAAAAAAAAAAAAAAAAAAACAAAGGAAACGTTGGCGGTTACTCACTTACACACTGAGCTACTAAGACTGATCGTGAGATCTTTAAACTGCTTCCGTATACGTTAATTATGGACTCCTCTGCTACTAAGTAATTGTTATTTTTCATTCATTTTTGTTGAGAAGCATTCATGTTTAGCCAATGTAACTACTTTTACAATAATATGGCACTATATGAAAAGTTCTCGCAAAGATTGCCTCCATCCAATTCGTTTTGAATAGAGTACGTCTTTCGCCCATAGCACGCCCAAAGTGCTTCCAAATTGTATCAAAAATGGCGACTTCTAAATTCAACATTGAAATACATAGACAAATACTGGACGAACAGATAGACTGACAAATAGACAGATAAACTTAAATCGATTTAGAAAGGGATTGCAAATCGATCGGTATAGTGAAGTGTAAGCTCATTTTAGCTACTTTGAAGTGTCGCATATATCCTGCACCACAAATAATAGACGATATTAAAATGCACTTATGAACCGAGACAAAACGTATTCGTATATGTATTTTGTGCGAATCGGCAGATTTAATATATCTCACTTCTCATTGATAAGAATTGATGATAGAATCTCCGCATAGTGACTTATATTTCACAGATGCTAGAATATTGATTTAAATAGGGGACGACCTCAATTTAAATATGATCAAGAGATGATTAAAGAACAAATTAACGTAAAGCTGCAATAAATTGAAGAAATGCCGATGTCTTCAGCTTACAGCCTTTCTGAGACGATAAAAATTATACAGTGCAGTTCTATACAATATGGCATAAAATTGTTTATAAACGTATTAATCGTACTTAAGATTCCTTCTACGCTCCAGAAATGTGTTAATATTATTAAATAAAGGCAAACCTTAATAATTTCAAATGCACTAGAATAATGTATATGTGTATATGTGTACATATGTTTTAATATATTACATATATTATTTGATAATTAATTTCTATGTGTTTGACATATGTGTGTGGCTTCATTCTTTACTCCTAAGTTTGGGAATTGATTTTATTTTGTATTGATGAGAAGTACATCAGACCGTAATATTCCGTCTGTCTGGCTGTCGGTTAATAAGTTGTCAAGGTTGATAGGAGCAAATATATTAAATCTAAGTTAGATAACTTGATTTTCTACATCAGCCGATGTATTTAAAATCCCTTATGTAACAACAAAAAAAACTTAATGAGTTTAATTTACGATAACCAATACTTTATGAAATATAATACCAATATTTATCGCAAATATTCATGTAACACAAGACTGAACAATAATTGTTATGATTGAATAAGATTTTTTTTTTTCGTCATAAAACGTTGTAGTCTTCCTTAATCATATCGGCCGCCTTTTCTGCAATCATGTATGTCGGTCCGTTAGGATGGGCGGCTATTAGCTGTGGCATAATACTAGCATCAACAACACGCAAATTTCGTATGCCATACACTCGAAGACGCGGATCGACAACGGCCGTACGATCGCTAGCCGGACCCATTTTCACGGTACCTGAATAATGATAAATGGTTTGAGTGAAGTGACGTCCATAACATTCCCAGTAGGCTCGCGACAATGCATTGCCATAACTTTGGCAAGCCGGTATCAAGCGATCCAAAAGAGTAGCATTCACTTTGCGAAAAGCGGGCTGTTCAATAATATTAAGCGCCTTTAATATACCCCTAATCATTATATCCACGTCGTAAGGATGGGCCAGATAATTGGGATAAATTAAAGGATATTCATGTGGATTTTTACTTTTGAGTTTAATGCGACCGCGACTTTTTGGTCTTAAAATCATTGGAAATATTACAAAACTATCGGAATCGTGCTTAAGAATATCCTCGTATAAGTAATGAAAGAGATCGGGGCGCAAGCCGAAACCAATCACAATTGGTGAATTAATATGTACACCTCCAGATACTAAAAATAATTCCATATCTGGCCAACCGTCTTCTTCAGCGGGATGATCCAAATCGAAGAACGAAATTGCTTCAATGCCACTGGGGCTAGTTAAAGGACCGTTTTTATGATCTTGTAGATCTACGACAGTTTTAACTGAGACAAACGTTTTCAAATGCAGACTACTGGCGTTAGTATAAAAGGTGACCCATGGAGCATAATGGTCTTGGAGATTGTATCCCACCGCTAAATCGGCCAAAGGTTGTATTTGCATTTCACGCAAATGTTTTGCCGGTCCTACGCCAGATAACATTAACAAGTGTGGACTATTTATAGCACCTGCCGATAAAATAACTTCTTTGCTGGCCAATACCTGATATGTTTTATTACGCGTTTCGAAGAGAATACCATAGGCTCGTTTGAGGTCTTCATCGATTAACACTTTAGTAACTAAAGCATGTTTACGTACATGCAAATTGGGTCGTTTACCTTTTAGAGGATACAAGTAGGCGCGATTAGAGCTCCAACGTATACCCTTATATATGGTGCTTTGTAAATGCGATACCGATGTCTGTATGCGACCATTGTAATCACGATATTTCACACCAGCTTCTTGATGGGCCCGAATGAAACTATCCGCTAAAGGAGTATGAGTAGTAGAATAAGAAATTTTCACTGGTCCATTACGACCCACATAAGCTTGATCAGCATCCGCTATAGTAGAACCTTCCAGTTTTTTGAAATAGGGCAAGACATTTTCATAACTCCACCCGTCATTGCCCATTTGAGCCCAATTGTCATAGTCACGACGGTTGCCGCGTGTGTACATCATATAGTTTAAAACTGAAGAGCCACCCATTACTTTGCCACGAGGCCAATTGCAACGATTATCTTTCAGACCCAAGCAATACGTTTTCGATGGCTCGGTACGATACTTCCAATTTAGTTCCGGATTCATTTGCAGAAAATGCACAAATCCCGGTATATCCATAACCAAAGTCTCCGGACCACCGGCTTCTAATAGTAAAATTTTCCATTGCGGATTCTCGGATAAACGTGCCGCCAAAGCACAACCGGCTGTACCCGCACCGACCACAATAAAATCATATGCCTGCAGAAGAGTCACTTCGTTGTCCATATATTCCAAGGATAGATTATTTTGGCCATCTTGTAAAAATTGCAAAAACGATAATAAAATATTACCGTCACCGTAATCAGTTTTTTCGCCGACAACCGTAATCCACAACAAACTGCTTAACACTAAATTGGCTTTCATCTCATAGAAGTTATCGTGTTCTTAATTTTCTCTACTCATATCATATAACCTGACGGGTCAACTTTTCAAGCTCAACTGTTTCTTAATGAATTTTATCCAAATACAAACATAGAATAATGACAACATTTTATTATTCTTATTATTTTCATATCGATTAAATCATTTTATCCGATGCATATTAACTATTAGGTCAGTCAATAGTCGTACAGATGCAATTATGCAGCAACGGTATGTGTTTTTCGACGCTATTTGATTCTAGTTTTAAACGGTTCGACGACAGGTGAGGGAATGGGCGGCAATTGTTGATTTAACAGCATACTACTAGTAATTATCGAAACGATTAAAATTTCAATTAAGTGATAGTCATCATAAGTTGTATTAGAAATGAAATTATTTCTTGGAATAAACAAAGCTATACAATGAAAAATATTGAGCAGAACTTATACGGACTTATATAGAAGACGAGAGAGAATTTTTAGCAGATAGAGTAATTAGTCTAGGCTAGCTTTCGCAGAAGACAGTGTTACTGTTTCTCTGTGAGCATTCGGCTCCTTCACGTCAACACACTACCTTCAACCTTTACGCATGAATATATATATGATTTCTTAAGGCAAAGGCGTTTGGAGTTTCAAATAAGTGGAATTCTGCTTTAAAAACAAAAGCATCATATGCGTATAGCGTTGCTTTTCCGATTTAATTTGATAGGATAGTGCTGCTAAATGATGTTATGTATGCGAATACGTTGCGATATCCAATGATCAAATAACCGCTACGCAGGCTAGGCGTAGGAATTGATATCAACTGTAAAGCGGTACATCCACAGCGTACTTATTTGGGGATCTCAGCTGGATCTGGCGTATTACAGTTTAGTCCAACTCGCACAGAATATCCTATTTTCTACATTGCCTATCATCAGACAGCATTCCTTGACTTGAGAAATCTTGTGTGGAGTGGTGGTGTCAGAATGCAAATAGAACCATATCGCTCAAATGTGGCTCACATCGTTTGTTGGGTCAAATTATTACGATGGACAAATTGTTATCATAAAACATTAATGAATAGGACTTTTTAGCACATAAGGGTTTACTTTTCGTGAGAATCCTTGCACGCCGTGATATCCAAAAATTAGTCCTACGTTATTCAAATTCGGTAAGGTTTACTATTATGAATTAATGTTCATCATGAAATGTTGGAAATTAGATTATTTACCATTTTATTATCTAAAGATTCAGTCTTCGTAAAAATGGTTACATATGAGAGGAGTTCGAAATATTTCACCAGCGAATTAAGCTTTTCATACCAATTTAGAAGGTCGAAATATTACTACCTACTAGCAACTTTTGTCGTGAAATTCGAAAAAGTGCAATTTTTTTTTTTTTTTTGATGTAAGGACGGGGAGTTTTCGGAAAAGTGCACCGATCCAAATCAATTTTCCATAGCGTTTTAAGCACGCACAAGTATATCAAATTTCATCAAAATATCTTCAAAAATTGTGATTTGTATGTTGAACATAAATAATTATACATGAAAAGTCATCAGACGGACAAACGAGCTTAGATCGATCCAGAGGATAGGTCTAGTACGAATGGTTTAAGAAAAGATGGCTCTATCTTCTGCGCCCTTCTGGGCGTCACACACGTTCGCACACGCTTGACATACCCTATACCATAAGTGGTGGTAGGGTGTAAAAAGAAGGACGAAAACGGATCTTCAATTCACATTTGTCATCTATTGCCACCATTTTTTCGATGGACATTCTCTTATAACTTATCCTTATAACAAATGATTTACAATATAATACAAATTTAATATCGATTCCGCTGAATTAAACAAAATTTGAAATTAAAAGCTTAAAGGAAAGGATGAAAATGATCTTAAAACTATAAAAATCTACAAATAAATAAATGAGTGATAGCGAAAAACAAAACAGCAAAAAAACCAAATAGATGCACATATCTAACCGTATCTAACCTTAGGTCTACTATTGTCTATCCTATTATCAGCAAAAATAATAAAATATTTACTACTATTGGCTATAATTTCAATGAAAATATATTTTACATTGCCGATGTACTGTTGCAGTATCGTAGCGGTTTGTTACTGACATACTATCATTTATAGGAAATATTTACGTTCTGAAAGCAAACCAGATCTATCTATCCGATCCTTTCGAATGAAAGAAATTTATCTTGAGGCTATTATTTGTACTAACCTTACTTACCATTTTTTATATGTTATGCGCGCAGCAGGCAAATATGATTTTAGTGCAAGTGCATTATATCTCATTTTTATATCCTGCAGCAAGCAAACTACACCTTTTGCCCCACAACGTTGCTGCGTTCGGCGTTCGAAACAGACAAAGGGACTGCGTTCTCGCTCCCTTATAACATATGTAAATAAAGTTTGTGTAACTCTAGCGATTTCTTGGTAATTTTTTAAGATTCCCTTCGACGAGTTTGACGGGTGAGGATCATACGGCTTTAAAGCAGGTAAGAAAACGTTTCGTGCTTACTGGCCCCATCCCTCCAATTCGATCGGTTTTACTGAACAAGTCAGACAAGTTAGACTCGCTTGATTTCTTGTTGAGAAGGCTGCCAATACGCTTCGGCACGACATTACCTTTAGAATGAGTAATGTGAGTGTTTCAGAAAGTGTCCGTGCAACAAACGAACCTTGCTGGCGTTACTTGAAACTGCAAGACGGAGCAATTGAATATATATTTACCCAAAAGTTTCCCACACTTTTGTTATTCTTCACTCGAATCTATAAACACCGTTCATTCCCGCTTTATTTTAGGTTTTAGACTAACAGCATAATCACATTATGATTATATTTACTTTTTTCAGCGATCACTACGTTGCTACATTCATAGTTTGTACAAATACTTGTAGAGTTTTATCATAAAACTCATCAATTCTTTTTTAACTTTCAATGCCTCTCAATAAACTTCTATAGTTTCCTCGTTATTCAACGTAACTGAAGTGTTTTTTTTTTTTTAACTGAAACAACTCGTTTCATTGGAAATGAGTTTTCTATACAAAAATTTTAAAACCGGTACATTTTATTGTATGCTAAGTTTGTTTTAATCAAGAAAGGTCTCTATAAGTCTATAATAAACCACACAATAATTCAATGTCAGTGCCAAACTATAAATTATAACGTGAAAACAAAACCAACAAATAATATAACAAAATTAAGTAAAAGATATTTGATAATAGAGAGTCGCTTACATCGAGAATAATCACCGCTCACCGATAAAAAGTTGAATAGAAATTAGAAGGAGATCGAGAGTGAAGAATCGAGAAGAAATTGAGAGAGTGTCCGCGGGATCAGACTTGCTTGATGATGCAGTCAAGCAGATATATAGCAGATAACATTTTCAAAATTTCGATGCATTCTGCAATTAAAAAGACAAACTTGTATCTATCTGTCTATCTATCTGTACTGTACGACTCGTCTCTCACTGGCTCTTAATGAATTCAATCGTTGTTCACGTCGACGTTTGTGCTTGCGCAGAGGAGATTACTTTTTTTCTTTTTTTTTTTCTTGGTTGGTGCTTAACCGAATTTAATGTTATGGTTTATTTCAACAAAGACAAAAGAAATCACCTCTGAGCAAACAATCAAAGAGAATCTTGCATTTAGAGAAGTCGATTATATTAAAACACCATCCGCCACGCTGAATAAAGCATTGAAGTTTTAAATCTCCCTGCGAGCAGATATCGTCGTGTGTAATATTAGAAAGATAACCTCAAAAAATAACGAATTTGGAATGCTTTTAATAATATTAAGCAAACATGTTGAAAATATTTGTTAGAATTCCTTTGGCGGGCCGTTTAACACTGATTATTTGTTTATTCGCGTTCTCGTGGGCCCAGGAACGTAACGTGATTTTGGAAGCAATTGATTTTTTAATACGCGGCGGAAATGATGCCAATTTAGAGAATTATGACAACACCATTGGCATGGAGGGAGAATACGATTTTATTGTAGTCGGAGCCGGTACAGCAGGCTGCGCTTTGGCTGCTCGCCTCTCAGAAAATCCAAAATGGAAGGTTTTATTATTAGAGGCAGGTGGTCCCGAAAGTCTAGTTATGGATATACCAATAGTAGCTCATTACCTGCAACTTGGTGAAATGAATTGGAAATATCGTACTCAGCCGTCCCAACAGGCTTGTTTAGCCATGAATAATAATCGTTGTAATTGGCCTCGGGGCAAAGTAATGGGCGGCTCTTCTGTTCTAAATTATATGATGTATACACGAGGTAATCGTCGCGACTACGACCGCTGGGCTGAGCTGGGCAACGAAGGCTGGAGTTATAAAGATGTTTTACCATATTTTAAAAAATATGAAGGCTCCACTGTACCCGATGCCGAACCTCAATATGTTGGACGCAACGGACCGGTAAGAATTTCGTATATAAAGTGGCGGTCTAAGATCGCTGATGCTTTTGTGGAAGCTGCCCAACAGGATGGTCTTAAATACCGTGACTATAATGGTCAAATACAGAACGGCGTTTCCTACTTACATACTACCACTTACAACGCCACACGCTGGAGTTCCAATCGTTCCTATTTATACCCAATCAAAGGGCAGCGTCCTAATTTGCATGTCAAGAAGAGAGCTTTGGTTTCTAAAGTGCTTATAAATCCCGAAAGTAAAACGGCCTACGGCGTGGAAGTGCAAACTGATGGTAGATCGTATAAAATTATGGCCCGCCGTGAAGTTATAGTGTCAGCAGGTGCGATTAACACACCGCAATTGCTTATGTTATCAGGAGTGGGTCCTTCGAAACATTTGAAAGAAATGGGTATCAAACCTATAGTCAATTTAGCAGTAGGTTATAATCTGCAAGACCACACTGCCCCAGCTGTTACTTTTACCACCAATGCAACATCCTTACATTTTGAAGACTTTTCCGAATCTACTTGGTTGTATCGGTTTAATAGGCAAGAAGGGCCGTATGGTTCACCAGGTGGTTGCGAAGCTATAGCATTTTGGGATTTGGGCCATCCTGACGCTGTTGATGGTTGGCCAGACATTGAATTGTTTTTAGTGGGCGGTTCCATGTCTGCCAATCCGGCCATTTCTCGCGGATTCGGCTTAAAAAACTCAATTTACAACAGTATGTTTGCAGAAATTGAGGATAAGAATATTGATGCATTTATGGTCTTCCCAATGATTTTGCGACCAAAAAGCCGAGGCCGTATCATGCTTAAATCTACAGATCCTTTCAAATACCCTTTGATTTACGCGAATTATTTTTCGAATCCATATGACGTCGATATATCTGTAAAGGGTTTACTTAAAGCTATTAGTTTAACCGAGCGCTCGGGCTTTAAGAAAATCAATGCTAAGCTCTGGGATCGTCTGATTCCGACTTGCAGTCAATTTCCTTATAAATCGCGTGAATATTGGGAATGTTATGTTAAACATTTCACTTTTACTATTTATCATTATTCGGGTACAGCTAAAATGGGTCCAATAACGGATCGTTCCGCTGTTGTAGATTCTCGCTTAAGAGTGTACGGAGTAAAAAATCTACGAGTAGCAGATGCCAGTATAATGCCTGAGATAATGTCGGGGCATCCGAATGGACCGGTTTTTATGATAGCTGAGAAAGCTGCCGACATGATTAAACAAGATCATAATTATATAAAATAACATATAGTACGATCGATGTTTAAAAGGGGAGGATTAGGATAATTTTTATTTAATTTTACTTACTTAGCCATATTATTTGTACTTTTAAAATGTAAGACAACTAACTAATACTCACAATAATGTTTAATACCAAAGAGATGAAAAACACACAACAGTTATAAGGAACTTATGAAATATATATTAAAGGTAAGGGCTTGCAAGGAGACACAATAAATTTATAGAAGGTTCAAACAAATTCATCTTTTCTTTTTCGCTAATAAGGCGTTTCGCACTCACTATATTGCTGAAGCATATGTCTGCCATACCATAACTTTAATGAGTTATTATGTCTAGAAGGTAAAAGTAATCGTCACTGTTCAGTAATATATAATCAAGTAATATTTGCAAAAAGATACACGAGAAATAGATGGTTATCTCTTCTGAGGCCGCGATAAAGTCATTTTCGTCTTTATAGATGTAATGATGTTTCGTTCGTTATGTAAGAGATAGCTCGAATGTTCATTTCAAAGGATATAAGTGTGCGTGGACCATCAAGGATATCATCTAAACGGCAACTGAAAAAACCACTAATATCAATAAATATTTCTTCTACAAAGTCGTGCCTCTTCAGTGCCCCTAATATCTGTTTTTCTAGACCTTTGAATATGTCGAGCTATGTTTTCAACTGTTGACTTGCTTTTCTCGTTGAGCAGTATTTGCTTTATTATAACTTCGTACATAAAAAGAGTAAAAACGTGAAGATCTTCACAAGTCGTCATATCGTCAGTACATTCGTATTACGTTAAGCAGCTGGAACAAATGGGTGCTTAACGATTGACAAAACTTAATTTAAAATGTTTTTCGTCGTTTTCTTGAAAGACCTCGCTCTTTTATATGTTCGCCTGAAACGTTAGAATCACGCGAAGTTGTCTTACACTCTCCAGAATCGTAATGGAAGCCAAATAATTTATTTGATGCTTCCAAGAGATAAATAGTTTATCTGCAGTAAAACCATTTGCTAATCGTACAATGTTAGATCGCGGGTCCGTTTCCGATTTTATGTTCCATATGGCCTTCGCAAATACCAGGCACATTTGTTAAAAGTATTCGCAGCATTCCCATCATCCAGTCAGCAAATGTATAGCGAATATATCTGAAAATCGTCAAAGGTCCTCGCGATAAGAACAGTATATTGATAGTTCAAAACATACACACACACACACACATACTCACACACACATTCCTATTCACATGTTAGCTGAAAGGCCTTACTCTCGGTAAGTTCACGTGAACTTTTAGATATTGTATATGGAAAAATAGTTAAAGAGTATTCGTATCAGTCGTGGACGCTTGATATAAAATATCTATCAAAGTTAAAATCTTTGATTTGTCTAAGTTTTCAAATTCTATTGGCTATACCTCAGTCTCTCTAGGCAACGTTTAAATTTGTCATATTATTCGGTAGCGCATCATAATCTTTGCGATCGTTCAATGTGACCACAGCATTACAATTTGTTATTTGAATTTCTAACTACATCATCATCATCAAGAATATCACATTCTTTTTAAAACTAGTTTTAAAATATTTTTTCAAATTAAAAATCTGCGAGAATTAATGCGCACTACATAAAAATTCTGCCCCATAAAGACCTATAATAAATTAAAAGCAACAAATAAACACACAGTGATAAATAACGAAATATTTTACGTGTCGACTGCGTTAAGATTAGTTGACAAAAACTAGATAAGTGTTTGGAGGAGATTTAAAAGTGAAAAGAAAAAGTGTGCTTGCGGTCACACTTTCAGTTCTTACTAATTACGCTTCAAAATTTCAGTTGAAAAACGTAAAACGCTGATATAAAATCTGCTCAGAAATTAAATTAAAGACAAATTAGTTCGCTAGAGACTCTGTCATTAATTAATTAATTGAAACGCCAATCACACTAATCTCTACGCGTGCGCAAATGTTATGACATTTTTTTTATTTATGAGTGAGTATTTATTTAACTAAAGTATAATCAAATTTCTAAAATGAGAATAATTCAGGAATAAAAAAACACATCGTCTCGGACCACGACGACTATATGTTAAAACACGAATTTTCATCTTAAGCAACGCATTAAGCTTGGAAATCTTTCTGCGAACAGAGTGATCGTATATGACACCAGAAGGATAACCTCAAAAAATAATACTCATTTCGAAGCTCTGTGAAGAGAAATTCGACTTTAACTAGCAAAGACACCTACCATATCTGTTAATAAAACTCAGTTAAGGCCTGAACACATCTCTGCTAAATAATTAAAATTAGTTGGATTAATTAGTTGGATTTGAAAGCCTACTCCGTTCATATTAAACAACGTAATATATTTTTGTGGACATCTAGATGAAAATACCTTTCAAACAAACTAAACAAATTCAAATTCTGCTTATGGAAGCTATTTCTGACGATGTTTGAAATTTGGAAATTTGGTTTCGATGTTTAAAAAAATGAATATGAAAAAACATCGAAATTTGAGACTCTAGTGCGGCCAAGCTAGAAAATCTCACCTATATTCACCTATATCACGTGAATCTATATAAAAGTACCTGTCGCATGAGCAAAAAAAAATTCAAACTTTTCTTTCAGTAACAATTTTTAACAATTTTTTATAAAATTGGTATGTTAGGGAAAAATGGGCGTGAGCATAGCATATACTATGCTATACTAATAGTATAGTATAGTACTAGTATAGTATAGCACTAGCATAGTATATTCGAATATAGCACATTATATACTAGTACAGTGTACACTACACTATGTACTAGTAAAAAATATACTATACTGTAGTACTACATCTACTGCATGTACTGAAGTACTATATGTACTGTATACGGGGTTTTTTTTAATTTTTCAAAGTCTTTCGATTTTGTAGATCATCACGTATTGCTGCAAAAATTGTCATTGTATTGTGTGATTGTTCACACTATACAATGAAGAGTTATTTCACCAATATCGCAGCACAAGCTTTATTGGCAAGAAAGCGGATTAGGTCCGTTGCTCTTCTCACTGCACTCCCACGAATTGGCATTTTATACAAATTAAATGCGAAACTTAAACTGGTCAGTCATACATCAATCGTTAACGCAATCACTCTTAAATTATATGGAAAAGGTACATATATATATGCTGATAATTAAGATAGTATAATGGTAGTATGTGTGAACAAGTTGCCAACAGTTAGTCAGCTGACAATTTGGGATATGGTATAAGGGTATATGCGAAACAGTGTTACTAATTAATGGGTTACGCGAACATTAATGTCGACAGGCAGTACTGTCAATGCGGGAAACATAACAAGTCTGAGAAACCCGAGCAGTAGATTTGAAAAGACCAAGCAGCATATTCACTCTATAATGCAATATTTATCTTAGGATTTAAAATCGATTAACGGAATATCGATATTTAAATCTTCTTGTGAAGAATGCTTTCATACTATAATCATAATGCTTTTATGCCCTATCTAAATTACATAATAAGAAGTATTTTTTTTCATAGTCTTTATACAATTCTGCAAACTTGCAAACAAAAGAAGAAGAAGAAGTTATATGCTGTATGGAAATTTTCTCTGACGACCTCTTATAAAGTCAACCTGAACTTAATTTTTAAATGTTTACGAACAGAGAGAAGTGCTCAGCTAGAAAAAACACGAGAAAACTGAAAAGATCAAATATTCACAATACGAAGAAAATTCTTTCCAGAGGGCTACCAAATGATCAATAATAGTATTAAGTTTCTACTTAAGCGTAAATTTTCTAATAAGCGTGAGAAGTTGATTATGCAGCTTGCAATTAAAGCTTCTCAAGCTAAATCACTATACTAAGAACGGTTACTAACCTCTTTCTCCTTGACCCCTAGCAACCATAATGCTTATAAAGGAAGCCTTTTTGTCATTAACAATTTTCGTAAACAAGATATATCTGATTTGAAAAAAATACTCAACCACAACAAAAAAACAAAAGTATCAATAAATTTAATATCGCTTTTACAACAACCGGTCTATTCACATATACACCAAATCATAATATATACTTAAAATTAAGAAACGATAAACATATTCTTGTAAACGCGAAAATTTACTAAAGTTTAAGTTCAACTCTTGTACAAGTGCTTGAGAGTGATTTGTTAATGACCGCAAGCACTCTGTCAAATGCTTTAATGCCAAACTAGAAGTTAAAGCTTTTACTAATATTTCAAATGAAAAAAAAAAAAAAAAAAATTTATGCTTACATAAAGCCATCGACACATGAATAGCACAAATATAAATCAAAACTAGAAGCAATTACTTATGGTATAAATAAAAGATTTTATGCTTACAACCATATTTGGGTTTTGTTATCACGTTTTCTTGCCATAGCTTTCATCATTTCGCATTAAAATTCTTTATTTCGGAGCTCACTGGTAAGTTACGAAATTCAACAAAAAAAAAAAAAAAGATGAGAGCGCCAGTTGACGACACGATTTCGTATCACTAGTATTCACTGGCTTCGGAATGCGTGAAAACGCGGCCAAATGTATTGGAGAAGCAGCAGACAGCTTCACTTCTCATTTTCCAAAGCCAGTATATCGGACAATGTAGTAGAATAGATCCAGAAGCCGTAAAAACATCTAATATGCCTAACGAGTCGGAGTGATTTCTCTTATATTGAATTGGGGCCCTTTTTTGGAAATTGAGAGTCAAACTCCTTAAAAAAAAGACTTTAAGCAAAAAATTATCATGATTGTTGAGAAGATATCGATGGTGTCTAAGTAGATAAGTCAGACATTTTTGGAGAACGGAAAATGACAACATGAAATATTCAATGCGTATCAAAAAAAAAAAAAAAAAAACATTTTTATGGCTTTACCTTTAATTTTTCCGGGTAGGGAAACTTGCTCTATCTCTATGCCGAGAAAAATCTTATATCATTCGGATCATCTTTTTACTGAATGAAATTCATTTGTTTCAATCCTTCAAGCATTCCATTCCATTTTTATATATGACTTACTTTAGTTTTTTGAAATATGTGCTATTCTTGTACCCAGGGCTGTATATATTGTATGCATTTTGTTTGAAGCAAGCAGTTCCATTGGCTTGTTCAAGAATCTATAAATAGTTATTTTTTACTTTTATTAAGTTTAGAAAAGATCAAACAACCTCTGCGCGTTAAAGACACAAGCAGCAACACGATGGTTCGACTTAAGGAATTTAATCTTAAAACCAAATATACCGAAAGTTGTTAAGCACATTAGAAGTTACGTTTTCAAGTGGAACAGACATACAATTATTGCATACAAGCGCTTCAAAGGTGTTTATTTAAAAAGACAAATAGACCAAAAAAAAAAAAAAATAATAATAATAATAATAATAATAATGGCAGCATCCGACTTTTGGGAACAATTATGAATAATTGATAAAAGCCTAGAAACGCATCAATCATAAAAACCAAAAATCAAAAGACATAAAAAGATAAAAAAATGTTTAGCTTTCACGCTTTCGTGGCATTTCTTTTGTTATGCAAAGCCTGGGCCCAGGATCGCAATTTCATTTTGGAGACTATCGATTTTTTAATACGCGGTCAAAACGATGTGAATTTAGAGAATCATGATAACGTTATTAGTATGGATGGCGAATATGATTTCATTATTGTGGGGGCGGGCACAGCAGGTTGCACTTTGGCGGCTCGTCTCTCGGAAAATCCTAAATGGAAGGTTTTATTATTAGAAGCGGGAGGACCGGAACGTTTAATTATGGATATACCCATAGTGGCACATTTCCTGCAATTGGGTGAAATGAATTGGAAGTATCGTACCCAACCTTCCCAACAAGCTTGCTTAGCTATGAACAATAATCGGTGTAACTGGCCACGTGGAAAAGTAATGGGCGGCTCTTCTGTCCTCAACTATATGATATACACTCGCGGTAATCGTCGCGATTATGACCGTTGGGCTGAGATGGGCAACGAAGGATGGAGTTTTATGGATGTATTACCATATTTTAAGAAGTACGAAGGCTCCACCGTACCCGATGCCGAGCCTGAATACGTAGGTCGAAATGGCCCTGTAAAAGTATCTTACGTAAACTGGCGTTCAAAAATTGCCGATGCCTTTGTAGAAGCCGCTCAGCAAGACGGTCTTAAGTATCGAGATTATAATGGCGAAATTCAAACAGGTGTCTCTTATTTGCATACCACCACTTTTAATGCCACACGCTGGAGTTCAAATCGTGCCTATTTATACCCAATCAAAGGCAAACGTCCAAATTTGCATGTTAAGAAAAATGCTCTAGTTACTAAAGTGCTTATAGCGCCTGAAACAAAAACTGCTTACGGCGTTGAAATACAAGCTGATGGCAAACGTTACAAAATTCTGACTCGTCGTGAGGTCATATTATCGGCCGGAGCCATTAATACCCCGCAGTTACTAATGTTATCGGGAGTGGGCCCGGCTAAACATTTAAAAGAAATGAATATCAAGCCTTTGGCTGATTTGGCAGTGGGTTATAATCTTCAAGATCACACTGCTGCGCCTATTACTTTTACCACAAATATGACTTCTTTACATTTTGAAGACTTTGCTGAACCGACCTTAATGAATCGTTTTAATCGAAATGAAGGCCCATACGGCTCTCCAGGTGGATGCGAAACTATAGGTTTTTGGAAACTTGAACACCCTGACGCTGACGACGATTTCCCCGATATTGAGATATTTATGGTAGGGGGTTCTATGGCCTCTAATCCAGCCATTTCTCGTGCGTTTGGATTAAAAAAATCAATATACGACAGTATGTTTGCCGAAATTGAAGATCAACGTATGAATGCCTTCATGTTGTTCCCAATGATCTTAAGGCCGAAAAGCCGAGGTCGTGTTATGCTTAAATCAACAGATCCTTTTAAATATCCTTTAATCTATGCCAATTATTTTGCTCATCCATATGATGTCGATATATCAGTGAAAGGATTACTGAAAGCCATTAGCTTAATGGATCTGGCAAGCTTTAAAAAAATTAATGGTAAATTATGGGATCGCATAATACCCACTTGCAGCAACTATCCGTACAAGTCACATGAATATTGGGAATGTTATGTTAAACATTTTACGGTAACCATTTATCATTATTCGGGTACTGCTAAAATGGGTCCGAAAACAGATCGTAGCGCAGTAGTAGACTCACGATTGAACGTATTTGGTATACGCAACTTAAGGGTGGTCGATGCCAGCATAATACCAGAAATAATGTCGGGTCATCCAAATGGACCTGTTTTTATGATAGCTGAAAAAGCTGCCGATATGATTAAACAGGATTATGGTTTCATTTAGGAAAATCATACAATATAAAGGCAAAAACCTATCCGATTGAAAAACTCTTGAAGTTAAACAGCGTTCTAGTTGTGTATTACTTAACTTAAACGAGCCATTTTCTTCGAAAAGAAAAACAAAGAACCATTAAAATGTGTGTGATAAAATAGAGGGGAAAAAAAAAAAACAAATTTCAAAAACATTTAAATTTAAAAATTTTTTTATTTTCACCTCAACAATCCAAACAATAAAATCTTATAATCCGTCATAGCAGACAATTTATGAAAATTCCTTATAATCTTTGCTTAATAAATGTTTTACCAGCTACACCCATTTCTAATACTATTAATGATTTTCTCGATTGAAATGTCCTTCTAAGGTTCAAAGATGTAAGAACAACTTGTTTTAATATTTCTGATTAGCAGAACTTGTGAAGAAAACTAACATAGTGGCCAGTGAGACGTTGGAGCGAAAGAGAGTAAAAAAATTTCATTTTCGTAGAAAAGTAAATAATTGTGATTAACTGTGTCATAGAGCAAATTGAAATAATGCGATATAAAATCGACTGAATCGTCAAGTTGCTCCAAACCAATGCCGCTTACCCAAGCCTAAACATTCGTTTGTTCGGGAATTACCCTTACCCCGTACAACCCGCTACCACCACTTTTCATTCTTTAACTTTACACTGCTTAGTCCCGTTTTCCTTCCGTGTCTACCTGGAATCCTCCTTGGCCACCTTGACCACCATGCCCACCTACATAGCGGAGCTTTTATATTAAGAAGAAAAAAAAAATAAATAAATAAAAAACAAAAGAAACACAAACGGGAAATGGGAAAAGGGCCAAGAGTTGTCCGCCAATAAATTAGGTGAATGGCTGCACGCAACTCTTGTTAAGCATTTAATTCGGCGAAAGGAATTCATATAACGTACCGTCATAATCAAAAAAAAAAAAAAAAAACTAAATTATAATTTTGATCTAAATACCTTATATAATATTGAATGTTTGCTTTCTATTCGAAAACAGACAGACAGACGAAGACACGAAGGAACTAGCAGACGGGCAAATGTAAATTGATTGTGAGTTTTGCGCTGATCAGGATTTTAGAGGTGTAGTTGGGAGCGTTACAGAAGGAGAGCCCAATTTAATACAACCTCATTATTCAGTGGTAGAAGAAGAAGAAGAAGAAGAAGACTAACAAGGAAATTTATCGAGCTGCTGCAAAACAATTACACAATCCATTTTCCACGCATATTATTAATGAATAAAACTTTTCAAGTAAACATACAACACGATTATAACGCTATGTAGCGTATCTTGTTCTTGCTCATTACAATATTGAGTACGAAAAAGAGTTATTAAAAAAAAGAAGATGAAAAGAGGTTCACAATGGCGTTAAGTGCGCAATTATTGCAACAATTGTATTTAATTATATTGATCGCCAAATTAAAATATTACGAAATTAATTGCTATTGCTTACGCATTACATGTATTAGTATGAAAACTTCGAATTTATTGATAACATAGCCAAGCGAAAATAAATTTATTGATTTAACATTTGGTCAAGAAGACATAAGTGGGGAGAAAAATTACCGAATTGAAGGTAGTCCGCCAAGGTAGCTCACATCTTTTGAATGTATACACATTCAAAAAAAATTAAACCAAGTTTTTAATTATAATTTTAAAAGCAAAACACCAAGTTATATATATATATATATATATATATATATATATATATTGCTATTAACTATCATATACATTTGCAATACACGCACTGAAAAGGAGGGTAATGCACAAATCGGGTTATGACAACTTTCAGATAACACAGCGCTAATGTACTTTTCTGATATGTATTAAAGGACCCATGAAGCTATCAGCAAAACCCATAATTTCATCGCTATATTCAAAGTTTATCCAATCTCGCCCTTTTCTTCTCCTTCTCTTTCTTCTTTCTCATCAACTTTTTTTACTTTTACTTATTTCATTTTCAATCTTCAAAGGCGAAAACTATTGCTATTTTTCATTGTTAGGTATACGCCAATGATGTTTTCAATAGACGCGAACAGTAGAGGAAAAATAATTAATTAAAAAACAAATATTGTAATAAGTAAACGATTTATCATAAATTTCGATCGAAATAAACAAAACATTTAACGCTTATTAAATTTATTTATAATAAATTTATTTTGCATAATTTATATAAGCAATTTATGTACTCTTATGTGCTCTTTCTCTCGTAAACAATAAGTGCTTTTATTAAGAGCGAATTCATTTAATAAACAGATCTCGTGATATTCTCATCGGCAACGACAATATATTAAAAGAATATTCACGAATATTACGCAATTATATCGCATTTTTTATAAATTTGCATTCCAAACACTTAACTAGAGGAAGCAGATAAAATAGAAAGTTAACTCAAGTTAAGTACCAACTTGTCTAACGTCATTTCATTTCGCTTTGAAACGCAATCAATCGCTGAATAGCAAGACGCGAAGAAATTTACATCCAATTTTTTTCTTTCTCTACTATTATTAAAATTATTTAAACATTCTATGAGTGAAAATTAAAAATTAAAAAAAAACTTCAAAAGGGATTCTTACTTTTATTATGCAAAAATATTTTCCTATCTTCTGACATCAACAACAATACATACAAATTCGAGTTCGTACATCCTCATCCTCAAGGCAATGGTCATCGCAATGCAGATCGAAAGTCATAAATCATATTTTAGAATATTTCTTCAAACCCAATTGCGTTACGCGTTCCCTCTTTCGAATCATCGCAATTGTTCCCGGGGTTTCATTTGAATTACTTAAGCATTGATTAGATCATTGAAATGATTGACCGACACATAACCACAGCTTTTGTTTCTCTGATTGCAGCGTTCAAGCAAGTTCAAGCAAACCGAAAATGTCGAAGCAAAAGCGACTGACTGTTCGCATCATTACTAAGTCTATCGTATCCGTGAAGGATCCGTTTTTCAGCAAAATGATGCTAACAGATGTTCGCTCTGCACTCTGCACACTTAGTTTATGCTCTTAGCATATTTAAAACAAATACTCCGATCAAAGCAATACTGATCCGCCTGAGTAGCCGAAGGCGAGGAATCTCGACCAGCAAGTCAATGGTCGTGGGTTCGAATCTCAAGTGCGGTAGAGTTTTTAATAAAAGCTGATATCCATAGATGCCTAGTGCTCTTAAGAGTTTAGTCTTAGAATTTATTTCTCTGGCGAAATTAATAATAATAATAATAATAATAATAATAATAATAAAGCAATAATGATTTTTATAAAAATTTTCCGAACACAATATAGTTAATAATAATCGATCGAAAGATCGAAAAGTGTGATAACTACTTTAGTTTGATTTGATGATCGGCGGTAACGATTTTGCATAGCAGATTAGTGTTATATCAGAATTTCCCAAAAAAAAAAAATAAAAAAAAAAATGCAAGCGCGAGACGCCATTAATTTGCAAATACAATTGCCCGCCTTGCGATATGCTATAATAAATTCTTTAATAATAAACGATTCATTCATTTTCGACAGTGCATGGAGCAAATTTACATCCAATTTTTTCTTTCTCTATTATTGAAATTTTAATTCTTTCAGAATTGCAATAAATGCTACGCACACTAAGCAAAAAAAGGAAGATTAGCCTGCACAAGCTCGCCACTTACATAAGCGACTGTATTATTAAAAAAAAAAAACAAACCGAACGCGAATGAGGCGCAGAGAAATGTGTAAAGAGCAACAACATCCATCCGAATAATGCAAGGAAATAAGATTACATGCACATACAAATATTTAATTTTTAATCAGCTTTATCGGAATCACAAGGGTTGCAAAGAATATTTCGCTTACAGACTAAACAGTTTGAGGGAGAGGAGAAAGCGAAAACCATTTTATTTGATTAAAAACACGCGGTTGCAATTGCATGCAGATTTTAATGCGAAGCGAGAACTTACTTGCTTGCATGCTGAACATGTGCTACGAAGGAAATTCTCATCAAAAATTCGATATCAAAATTTAAACACAACTCTTTAATTACGTTTGATAAATGTGCATGAAATTTATTTTATAACCCTTCCTGCCTGACTGTTTCTTCAAATTACGCCCGTGCTCTTCAAGTTCTTCAATATTCCTTTGGGCGTAAAGCAGACAATTGCTGCTAATTGCATAAGAAATCTTCAACTTGAGTGATTTTTTCATCAACGATTGTGTTTTTAAACGTCTCCCCGGGACTTTATTTTTCCATTTTTTTTTTTTTTTTTTTTTTTTTTTTTTTTGGTGAACTTTTACTGATTGTTCATATGATTGTAAAATTCGATTTAAGTAAATAGAATAAAAATTATACTTACATAAGAAATTTTAAATGCCATGTCACTAGAGTTCGCTTACCTGAAAAGAAACAATAATTTTCATTAATTATATTAAAATAATAATAAATAAAACACAGTATCGACGACTCGATATATTATGAACTTTACAATACAACTTCCATTACCTTAGCGAAAGCGATCCCACTTGACCAAACAAAAATCGCAATAGTCAAGATAGGGGATGAAAAGTTTGAATATATAATTTTCGGTGCATGTCATCAATAAAAAATCAATCGGTATCACGTTCACAGTAATTAACAAATTGAAAGGACATTTTTCAGAGGAATAGAAATCATTCTCAGAAAATGTTCCTTAAGTCTGATGTGTTTTTTAGCCTATTTCAGGGAAAGACTTGATACTTTACGCATTAAACTTCGGATGAACTCACGCAAACCGGAGTCAAGCAAATTGCAAGGTGCAGTGTCACAAGCATAACATTCAAATAGTTTGTAGAACCTATACGGGCGATTTTGCTTATATTTGAACTTAACGTCACATTGCTGAACAAAATGCAAAAAATTTAAGAATACACCCTTAGATGTAGTTCGGGCGGCAAACAGGCCAAAATAATTCTCTGCTTCACGCTCGCCAAGTGCACGCACCTTTCAGTTCGTAATCTATGCAATGCAAAGACTTGATCTTTTTCAATCAATTTTTCATTCCTTCAATACGAAGGATTGATCATGTATAAGCATGTAACTTAATTTCTAAATTGAAATTGAACAAATTTCAATATATGAGATTTTCAATCATACTAAGAGAATTAACGGCTTCCGCTGGTTAATTAATAAGCAAAATAAGCGCTTTTGATTTATTTAACTGATCTAGGGTCTTATATATATAACGAGCAGCTTCAAGTCAAAGACGGCGACGATTTAACTGCAACGTACAAAGTACTGATGCTTTCTGGAGAACTGAATATCGGCGACATGTATTTCATTTTAGAAAAGATCGAGACCTATGGCAAAACCTGTAGAATAATCTAGTGATTAGGAACGAAGGTAAATGAATGATCCCGCTCTTTATGAAAACCGTAAAATGATCTATTTGTTGCCTATCGAGGGCGTTATGTTTATAGCACTCAGCATACGCAAGAAAGATCTAATAAAGTAGACGCATTCTTTAATTAAGTCTCGAAAGCTAACATACTAAAAAAGCTTAAAACTGACATATTGACATACAATATTGACAAATTGGACAAATGAAAAATTCGCAGAAAGCATTAATTGAACATTGGACAAACCATTTGAAGAATAATATGCGAATTTTACTTATTCGGATCACGAATATCGAATGATCTAGATTTATAAAGTTTTCTTTATATTTACATGAATGAGCCTATAGTTCGTGCTACTTCGAGGTGCTTCATTTCATGTTCCCATTATAAAGGTTTTTCCATGTCGTTTATCTCACTCCGCCTTATGGAAATTCTTTGCCTTATTAAATAGTATTAACGCTTTTCTAGATAAGCTTTACTACATAATTGTCATAATTACCCGTACAAAATGTAACATTCCCAAGCAAAGGAAATAGTCCGGCGATTTTCATTTAAATCCAATTATGAAATTTTTGTGCAGGTTAGACGATCGAACGCAGATTAACTTTGAATGAAGAAAGCAGCAAATTTATATTAACTAAATCGGAACAGCAAAAGCAAACAAATCCTACCATTGAAGCTTAATAATATTATCACGATTTTCCCTTTGAATGCAACTGCGTTAAATCATTGCCGAGCAAATATTGCTCAGATTTACACTGATCACTCAACAATGAAAATTTTCCTTTTTTGTGGGCGTAATCGACATGTAATTTTACACACATGAAGAGTGTTTTCTTCGTCGCAAAAGTTTAATTTTCGTTACGTTCGTTCGTACGGTGTTGATGAAAGTTCTCAGGGGCAAATTTTCAGTACCATTGATTACTTAGAGAAAGGGTAAGGGAAAGGGCGAAAATGTATTCATTTAACATATTAATCGTATAGCGATTATAAACAACACAGATATATTACATCATAATTTTATACGATTTGACAGCACTTTCCGGGTATGGGGGAATAGGTTCATCCGAAATATCTTCGATTTTCGATCTTTACATTTATAGAAAGAGAAATGTAATGAAATATAATATGGACGGACGAATGTTTTTTGTTTTTCTTTTTCTTTTTGAAGAGACAGAGAGACATGTCTAGATATGTTTTACTATTTGTCTTATCATGTCTTTAGGTACAACAAAAGAATGATTGCAGAGTGAAGGCTTAGCTTCTCATGACGAAACAAATAAATTAAAATCATTAAACCTGTCAACGATTATATATAAACGATATTTTTTTTCGATTGCTAGTAAAAGAAGAAGAAAATTTCAGTATTCTTGGTCTACTTCGCCAATTAACCATAAAGATTAACTCAACTCCCGCATATATATATCAGGCTACGGTACATGTTAGACTTTGCAAGGGCAAAACCCATCTATAAAATCCAATAAACGAAAGATATTTAGTTTCTTTGTCGACACGAGCAGCAATATCGAGATTATTTTTCCGATTAAAAACGCACTTAGAAACAATCTCCCGAGGTAATATATAAGAGGATCACGCACTTTTCGTTCTCGCTCGTGTCAGAAGTCACTCCGCCTCTTAGTTGGCAACATGTTTGAGAACATGTTTAAATTGCATTGTGTTTGCTTTTAAGACTTTTTTTTTTGTTAAAATCCTCGAATCATTTTTGATCGGGATTTGATTGGGATTTGCTGCTTCCTATATATGCCTGAGAGACTATGCAATTTAGATCTTTAGGAAAATGTTCCACGTAACATATCCTATCATCATACGATTTCTCAAGTAATATATGAAGAGATGCATATGTCCTCAATTGTAAGATTTCTCGCACAACATAATGATATTTATATACATATATATATATATATATATATATACATATTGAAGACTTTTCTCAAAAAATTTTCAATTTGGAAACGGGATAATATCATTGCGCTATGAAGCGAGCATATTTTTGCTCTTCTTTAATTTTTCTGAGTGTAATAATTTGTTGGAAACGCTCCAAGTATGGCTAGCAAGCAGACAACAAAAAATTGATAATAAAAGCCGAAGAATAATGTCATTAAACTTACATAATGAAACTGCCTATAAAAAGAGAACGGCTGAGCGGCAATCGCAATAAAGAAAAAAAAAAAAAAGGAATAAGAACATCACAGTCATCCCCATATGTAATATAGAAAAGATCATCAGGTATTGAGTAGATTATACGATTATAGCGGCTGCGCCTGTATATCTTTATAAAGGCGAACGTGCTGATAAGCCCACTACCAGGAGAAATAAAATTTTTTTTTAACCAATTCATACAAAACAAACCTTAAAATTGAAAACTTGAAAGCATTCGCACTTGAAATCGTCCAAAAAAATAGTTGTGGCGTGAACGTGAAGCGCTTTAGTTGGCAAAACAAAATAAATCGAAATGAAAGAAATAATTATGAGAACAAATTTTAAAGTCCTAGTGTTGAGCTTAAATTTAATGGCGTCGCTAACACAAGTGAAAAATTTGCAAACTAACATAATAGATTCCTGGTTAAGCTTGGGCTTGCATAATATATTGAAGCAAGGTTTCTATAACGATGGTAAGAAATACAACTTAAACAACTAATGCAATTACACGAAAAGTAACGTTGCTACCATTCAAGTGCCGCCTTCCGGGTTAGAGTATGACTTTATAATTGTGGGCGCCGGAGCAGCTGGTTGTGCTTTAGCTAATCGTTTATCAGAAAATCCCCAATGGCAAGTTTATTTACTCGAAGCGGGCGGCTTGGAAAGCATTATTCATCAAGTGCCTGCTATGGCTGGCTTTTTACAAGGCACCCATTCCAATTGGGGCTATCGTAGCGAACCGCAACAGTTTTCGTGCTGGGGGATGTACGGAAGCCAGTGTGCTTTACCGCGTGGTAAAATTCTAGGTGGCACCAGTTCCATTAACTTTATGATTTATAATCGTGGTAATAAACATGATTTTGATCGCTGGTCTGAAGCAGGAGGTAAGGGTTGGTCATATCGTGAAGTGTTACCATACTTCCTTAGAAGTGAAAATGCCCGATTGAAAGGCTTAGAGAATTCGCCGTACCATAACCATACGGGACCGCTCAGTGTACAAGATGTCGCCTACCGCTCTAAAATCGTAAAGGCGTATGTAAAAGCAGCTCAACAAGCTCATCATGACTACAACGATTATAACGGTGAATCCCAATTGGGCGTTTCATATGTACAAGCCAACATTAAAGACGGACGTCGTCACAGCGCATTCAAAGCTTACATTGAACCGATACGCAATGAGAGAAAAAATTTACATATACTTACTACGGCCCGAGTAACTAAAATCTTAATAAATCCTGACAGCAAACGTGCTTTTGGAGTTCGCTTCCTATACGGAAATTCGTTGTACACCATCAGGGCTCGCAAGGAAGTAATCTTGTCGGCGGGAGCATTTAATAGTCCACAATTATTAATGCTGTCGGGTGTGGGACCGCGAGACAATCTCGAAGCCATAGGAGTCAAGATAATCAAAGAGTTACCCGTTGGTAAACTGCTTTACGATCATATGTGTCATTTTGGTCCAACATTTATTACGAATACAACAGATCAAACCATATTTACTGCTGACGTTAATCCGCAAATCGTTGCGGCATTCCTATCAGGTCAGGGGAACACTAAGTTGTCGTCAATAGGTGGTGTGGAAGCTTTAACATTTACGAAAGTGAACGGCTCCTCACAGCCGGCAGATGTACCTGATGTAGAGATTATCACTATAGCCGGCAGTTTCGCTTCTGACGGAGGCACTGCTTTACTGCAGGGGGCGAATATACGCTCAAATATTTATAATCAAGTTTACAAATTACTAGCTGACGCGCATCAAGATCACTTTACATGTTTGGTTATGCAATTTCATCCAAAGTCCGTTGGACGTTTATGGTTGCATAATCGTGATCCCATGGAGTGGCCACGCATCAATCCCAATTATTTTCAACAATCGGAAGATGTTGAAATTCTACTTAAGGGAATTAAAGAAACGTTACGTATAGCTAAAATGCCTGCCCTAAAACGCTTGGGAGCACGTTTACATGCAATAACATTACCGGGTTGTGAAAATCATATTTTCGGTTCCGACGAGTATTGGCGTTGTTCTATACGCACCATGTCCTATACTCTACATCATCAAGTCGGCACTTGTCGTATGGGCAGTGACAGCGACAACACTACAGTCGTAGATTCTCAACTGAAAGTTCATGGCATCCATGGCTTAAGAGTAGTAGATACTAGTATTATACCTTTTCCACCGACCGCTCATACAAATGCGATCGCTTTTATGATTGGCGAGAAAGCATCCGATCTGATACGTTCAGACTGGTCTTAGAAGAATAATGATGTCAAATAAATAATTCTAACGTTCAAAAATACTACTACTATACGTAATAAACAAAAAGATATAATTAATATAATTAATCTGATTATTAAAATGCTTTGCTTTCGTTCTTTGTCTCTTTATTTCACTTAGACGCGTATTTATATATGTATATATATATATGAATCTTTGTTGAATGCATTCGAAATTAAACATAACGTTGCTTAGATATCATAAACAATAACATGTTTTAACTTATACTTGTTTACGCGATCATTACGTTGACACGAATCGAGTCCACCTTCTTTTTCCTTATCTCACTACAGTAAATCTTTTATAGCTTCTAAAAATGAGTTAAGTTAAAGGCTCGGCCTTTCATTGCACAACGGAATTATTTTTTTACCAAAAAATGTTCTCGTTTTTAAAATCCACCGAATCGTTCGTAGTTCGATTCCATCAAATGATAAATTATTAAAATCAATGTAAAATTCAAGCGAAAATGTTAATTTTATTTAATCGACTTTTTTATACCGACCACTGTAAGATAGAGGTATTTGGGGCCCATTTTGTTTTTTCCAAAAAAATATATATAACACCATAAAGGAAAGGCTCCTGGGACCCTATAAAGTATATATATTCTTGATCCGTTTGAAATCTTGAGTTGATTTAGTCATGTCCGTCCGTCTGTGTGCTGTGTGTTTCTGGCACACTCCTAGTCGCAAAAATGTAAATATCGACTTCAAATGTGATAGAAACAATTAAAGTTTCTATAGGCGAGTTGGAGGAAAAGCGCGCAATGAACCGTAAACTGAACGCAACTCAGTTTTTTTAATACAAATTTTACGATTTTTGCTCGTTATTCGGAAATGATTAAAGTTGAAATTTTAACATTTTTCACATTTGCTTTACGAAGCACTTTCCTCTGTAAGAATAAAGAACAACCGCCACGCCCACAAAAAGTCACAAGTAATTAAATTTTATTTATTTTTTTTTTTTTTTTCACTTTTTTTAAGCTTTACGCTTATCTATCGTAAGGCAATCAAGATCAAACGTTTAAAAATATTTTGCACTTTCCTTAAATGAAGATATACTATCTGCCTAAAAATGGGTTAATTCGAAACGATACGGTAGATACCGCGATTAATTCTTTTTTATTAATACCAGCGATACGAGTATCAAATAAAAGAACTTTCAGAATAGAACGGAAAAAACATAGCGGTGGGTATGCGAAATTTGACTCTCGCCGAATATAACTTTCTTACTTGTTCTAAATTATAGAAGGGCCAAGGTATCTCTTAAACGAGCAAAAAAGAATTGGTTTACTGACAAATTGACAGTGGTTTTTAATGAGGACTAACTAACTAGGAATGTAGATCATAAGAAAGCAGTTTCCTTGGGGAGAGAGACTTTCCTCTCCGCTGCCGTTTTCTGTCTTATGTCCTAACCCACATAAGAGTTGCCTTTTAGTAACTCAATTATGTTTCCATATTAGCGCCGCCTTTAAGCACCTGAGTGAAGTAGTTTTTTTTTTTTTTTTTTTAATTATAGAGGGATTTATAAACAAAATGAAAGGAACACCATGATCACGTTCTGGTACTTTCTGCATTCTACAGAACTGCCAGTCATGTTTCTCTTGATTTGTATTCCGTTTCCATTCAAGATATTTGAACATCACTCTAGTCTAAATAGACAGAATTTCTTACCTAGCCTTACTCCCATTCCAATTTCAATTGATCCATGAAATAACGAAAGCTATTAAACATAGCCATACATATGCGCTTCCTACATAAAGTGTCTGACCACAAGTTTCGCATGTTTTTTGTTCTTGTTTTTTTTCTTCGTTAAACGAAGATGAAAATTGAATTCAAAAGTGCATCTTCGTGACTTCACATTGCAGACAATATATGGGGCGCTCGCACAGAGAAGCATGTAGAAAGAAGGGTTTGTAAAGAAACCTTAGAAGAAGTCTTATGGCACTTATAATGAATATCAAAATCCTACGCTAAGCAGGGAATACTAAACTTGTTACATCCCATGCAAATTTAATATTTCTACCTTTTTATATATATGTGGGGGATTGTCCAGGAGACGCAATGTGATTATTAGGAAAGATTATAGATAACTGAGGGATGAGTTGAAAGTGGTTTGTGAAGGCTATTTGGATTGTGGGTTGTTCCCAAGAATGCGGAGTGACGGTGTACAAGCTACTCCGCTACGGGTAAGTGAAAACCCGGAAAAGCTAAGTAGTCCACTTAACGCACTAGATTGATGATAAACAAATTTCTTTTAACTCTTTAAAGCAATTACTGTGAACGTATCTATATATGGGCCCAGCAAGGTCTACGTTACTTCGATATTGCCGTCGTCTCCTCAGCATCTAAGTTGTTCGCTGCACAGGATCGAGAAACTCCAAGCAATATTGTTAAAGAAATTTGGACGGAGTCAGTTTTGATGGACCAAACGACAGGCAGGCAATCAATCCCTTTTCTTTTTTTTTTTCTTAAGTTTAAAAAAGGAAGAAACAGCAATTTTTTCTTAAAAATACCTTTTAAGATATTTTGTAAGCTTATTGTAGACAGAGTCTGCTTGAGGAGTTTACAATAATTAAAGAGGATCGGTTGAAAGACGTAAAAACTTTTTTTATATCAAACATTACTATTTTTTATATATATAGTATAATATATATAATATAACTTTGATTAATAACAAAATTATAAGATACGTTTTCGAAATTCTTGAATGTTTTACCTAAAAATTTTTATCTCAGCACAAGGTTATCAATACAACAGCATTCGGGTTCTCTTCTAAAATATTAAAAAGCTTTAGTTTTTCAAGAATTGCTAGTATTTCATACTTTTACTTCAACGAATAATGTTTCATTAGCTGTCTCTAATTGTCCAAAAAATTTTAATTATAATTTAGAACAGTATATAGAAAAAAAAAAAAAAAAAACTGAAATGAGATGCGAAAACTTTTATTGTAGTTTAGTGCTAATACTTTGGTTTAGTAACATTTGCACACCAAATATATATAATAATATTTTAAATGATATCACAAAACTTGGTTTAGTAAATGTTTTACAAGAAACATTTCGGGCACAAGGTGAGTACGCGTTGCAGCCGTTATCACGAATATATTATTAATTGTGTTCCCATTCATTTAGTTCCCAAAAATAATGAAATCTTTGATTTCATTGTCGTGGGTAGCGGTGCGGCTGGTAGTGTCGTAGCGAACAGATTATCAGAAAATCCTAAATGGCGCATAGCTTTATTGGAAAGTGGAGGTATAGAAAATATTGCTCATGTTATACCAGCCTTGGCAGCTTATATGTCTATAACGTCTAGCAATTGGAATTATGGCTCCGTGCCTCAGAAACGTGCATGCTTTGGCATGCATAAAAACATTTGTTTGCAACCGAGAGGTAAAGTCTTAGGGGGCACCAGTTCCATCAATTTTATGATCTACAATCGTGGCAATCGTCGCGATTATGACAGTTGGGCAGCAGCCGGTAACCGCGGATGGGCGTATAGCGACGTTTTGCCTTATTTTCTAAAATCGGAACGAGCTAATCTGGATGGTTTAGAGTACACGTCATATCATAATCGCAATGGTTCCTTAAATGTAGAATATCCCCGTTACCGTAGTCAATTAGTTGAAGCTTTTGTTACGGGCAGTGAACAAGCTGGCCACCCTCGAACAGACTACAACGGTGAATCTCAGATAGGCGTCTCCTATGTTCAGTCTACGACAAACAGCGGTCGACGTAATAGTGCTTATCGCGCTTTCATTGAACCTATTATGCAACGTCGCAATAATTTACAAATTTTTATATTTTCTCGCGTTACTAAAATATTAATTGATCCAACATTGAAGACAGCTTACGGCGTCGAATTTGTATACAACAACAAATCTTACGCAATCAAAGCTCGTAAGGAGGTCGTAATATCAGCGGGAACATTTAATTCTCCGCAACTTCTTATGCTTTCTGGAGTGGGTCCTCAAAACATTTTATCAAAGCTTGGTATACCAGTAATCAAAGACTCGCCTGTAGGAGTGCGCATGTATGAACATGCATCACATTTTGGTCCCACGTTTTTAACCAATACCACTGGACAATCTCTATTTACTGCCAATGTAAAACCGCTTGATGTTGTCCATTTTTTGGCAGGTAGGCCGGATACAATGCTTTCTACCTTAGCGGGCGTAGAAGCTTTAACCTTAATAAAAGTTCCTATTTCAAAAATTCCCAACGACTGGCCGGATGTAGAGCTTATATTTGCCTCTGGAAGTTTAGCTTCTGACGAAGGTACTGCTTTAAAAATTGGTGCTAATTTCAAAGATGAAATTTATAACCAATTGTATCGTGACATAGAACGAAGACGTCAGGATCACTTTACAGTTTTAGTGATGCCTTTTCATCCAAAGTCTATGGGCCGCCTTTGGCTGAGAAGTAAAGATCCACTACAGTGGCCTATTATAGATCCGAATTACTTTGCCGAGAGCAAAGATGTAGAATTCATGCTACATGGCATTAAAGCAGCCATAGCTATATCCCAGACACCGGCCATGCAAAAAATTGGCACACGCCTTCTACCTATTCCCGTACCGGGCTGCGAAAGTTTTCAATTCGCCTCCGATGATTATTGGCGATGTTCCATCCGCACGATGACATATACACTTCATCATCAGGTAGCTACATGTCGTATGGGTCCAACCAACGATTCGACTGCTGTGGTCAGCCCTGAATTAAGAGTGCACGGTATACAAAAGTTACGCATCATCGATTCAAGCATAATACCTTTCCCGCCTACTGCTCATACCAATGCCCCCGCTTTTATGATCGGAGAAAAGGGGGCCGATTTAATACGAACGACTTGGAAAGATGAAATGTAAAAAACTTTTTAATCATTAAAGAAAAGTCCTTCGAAGCATTAAATTTGATTGAATTGCATCCTTACAAAGAAATCAGAAGCCTCCACATAATCTTTTTTTTTTCTTTTTCTATATTACACATGGGAACTTTATCCGGACAGCCTTTTAATAACTATGAACGTAGGAGTAGTTCGCCATAAACTCAATCTCTAACGCATATTTCAGATAGGAAAGAACAGGAAATGCTCATTATTCGAGATCTCTAATAGCGCCAAAAGGCAGTGGAACGCTAAAATTGTCATACAGTTGTTACATCCACAAATGGATATCGCAGAATTTATAAAGTATATATATTCTTGGTTAGCATACGATTTCGAAGCGATTGGGCCGTTTACATCTATCCGTGTGTAGTCCTTTTTGGACCTATTGATATTGTAAAAAATGAGCAGGGCATCTTTTAACTGAAGCATGCAAACCATCCGATATCCGATTTTTTTAGTCGTTTGTTACTTTGCATCGACTGCTGATCAAAACTACTACACTACTAACAAATAAGTTCTACATTTAATTAGGTTTCTTTCACTGAAACGTATTGCATCAAAATGAATGCCACGAAAGCCTGCTTTTGCATCCAAAGCAGCGCTAATGTACTGCTGGCCTTCTATGCCATAGTAAGTAAAAAATAATTCAAAATGGTGGTATTAAAAAGCTAAACGAAAGACGGACTTATAAAGTGAACAAAATCAAAATAATCATTCACTGACTTGCTAAAGAAGAAATAAATAAAAATGCTTCAAAGGAGGTGATTGAAGATTTTAGAGTTGCGGTTAACGGAACCAATTAGAGAAATAAAAAACTTTGATTGCGACAAACGGGAGAGGAATTTTTAGATTTATATTTATTTCAGCATTATGGTGCTTAAATTCGTATTGTAGAACTCGTCCACTCACGCCATATTCACAACACATTCCGATGAATGCATCTTTCGATCGGCGACCTATTGTCTGCCTGAGCTGTCTGTGCAACTATTCTTGTGCTTATTCCAGTATAGCTTCAAAAAAAAACAAATTACGTTTCCGGAAGAGAATTCGTATTCTGTCACGAAGATAAGAAAAATGCAATAGTTTCACTAAAATACTTTTCACCATTCCGTTGCACTAAGTTGTAAAAAGTTGATCGGGATTTATTTTTACACCTGGAAATTAATAAAAAAATTCTTTATTACTGTCCGTTAAATTGTCTACTTTTTACTCTACAATTCAAGGATACATGCTTGGATAAGCTGAGTCACGTTCCATAGGTAAACATGCAAAGGCAAAAATGTAGTAGCATATTAAAAAGAGAAAAACTACCCTTTAAAGAAGATTGAAAGTGAAATTTTTCTAATGCAAAATGAAAAAAAGGAGAACCCAGGTGTGCAGTAAATCAATAAAGAAAGTCAAACATGTCTGACAGTTTAGTACAACATTAGAAAAATAAGGTAATAAAACCATAAAATACTATACGCTTGTGAATAATTGTAACAAGGGGTAACTCAATGACGATAATGATAACGATAATGATAATTATCATGATGATGACAATGATGATAATGATGATGACTATACTAAAGCAAATGTTCACAAATTTGCCTCAGCGGTGTATACCACAAGTGGCACTTTGTAGTGGTGGAGATGATGGGAAAGAAACACTTTATGTTTATCTCATCGTTGGTTTTCTTCCTTTTTGTTTTTTTTTTTTTTGCGTACCATCACACTCATCTCATTTCATCGTATCGTCTAGAGGATCGTAATATATAGCGGCGGCAATAGCATGCAAAGAACTCTTCAAATAGTTGGTCGAAGTGCATTAACCTAAAAAAGATGGGAGCAGGTTTTGCAGAGTGTATGCCGTCATTGTAGTTAGTCATGTTATAATCGCAAAAAGGGTGGTTTTTTTTTGGGTGGATACGTTGTTTATACAAAAATCAGCCTAAAGGCAAACACACTCGCACTCACCGATAATATGACGTTGCTGCTGACAGCAATATTTAAATTTGTTGTAAAAGAAAATGTTGCTGAATGTAACAACAAACAAAAGCGTAAAACTTGAAACTTTTCTCTTGAATATGGGAGAATCCACTTCAAATAACGATATAATGTGTCGGTATAGCATTATTCTTAGACCCACCACCGCAGACTGGAAATATACTAATTTTGTTATTCAGTAATACATGTCGCGAACATCGCTTATATGTCTGTGCGGTCATTGAAATCATGACTGCACCTTCGAAACTTTTTCACTCATGTTACTCAAATGGCACAACCACGCTTCGAATAGTTCATTTATAATTTTTTGATAAATTATATGGCATTCGATTCCGTTAAAATCACTTGTTGAAGAGACATGATGCTTCAAAATTTGTCTCAAGACTAGACACATTCACTATTGCAGTCAAGTGTCTTCCAATAGGGGAAACTGTGACTTGCCGGGAAGATGCACTTTCTCTTTCGCTACATTTCACGTATCACTATCTTATCCAATATAACTTTGTACCCGCACACAGATGTCATGATACACAAAATAATTTTTCAACTTCAATTCTTAAGTCAACACATTATCAAAAGACTCGATTGAAATTAAATAAACTGTTTTAAAAAAAAACTTTTCTTTATTTACTTTATTGGGGACCCTACTACTTTAAAATTAAAACAAAAAAATTCGAAAAAATCGACCGCACCCATAAAAGAGATTATATTTTTATTTGTTTCATTTCAAGTGTATTCAGCTATGCTTACAATCATAGCCGAGCTGAACACTAACATTCCAAAATTTCAAATTGATAAAAAATTTTAAACTCCTAAGTTAAGTGAAAATGCATCCTTTAAAATAGTAGTGAAGTGAAAAGAAGAGGACAAAAGTGTTAAAAACAAAAATAAAAAACAAGGAAGAAGAATGTAATCGGACAAGACCGACTATTGCATACATTACACCATTTCGGCTAGTACAAGTTGTTCCTTCGTTTTGCTATTTGCTTAAGTTATATATAAATATAAATAACAAACCAAATTTTTTTTGCAGAGCTCCGTAAAGCCGTTAAAAGAATTCTGTTAAACGAAGTTAATCGAAGGGATTTAACTCAATATACAAGTAAAATAGAATTTTGCGAGAATTTTTTTGCAAAATATTATAAACAAAACATGGCATTATGCTAATTAATTAATATCCGAAAGGACAACATTTTTGCACTATGTCATAAGTGAGGTTGATAAAGCGAAATTTTGTGTAGCTACTGAGGCCAAATTATGTCTTGTGAAAAAATGAAACTAACGCATAGTAAATCATCTCTTAATAGCCTTTCGAATGATGTGCAGGCTATATTAAGTTGGGCCCGGAGTATTTTTTTATGGGATTTTGAAAATTGCCGTACTTAACATAATACAGGCTGACATATAAGCAAACTTTGAAAGACTACTGTGGGCAAACCATGTCCTGTGAAAAAATCAAACTATCACATAATGAATCCTCTATTAATAGCCTTTCCAACGATGGGCAGCTTATATCAAATTCTGCCCGGAGAATTTTTTTATAGGACTTTGAAAATTTTTTACTTAACATAACATTATTGTACGAGTACTATAGCATCGCCCAAAAAAGCGTAGGAATTTTTGTACATTTACCGGCAATAGATTATGATTAGTGAGCAAAAAACCAATTTTTATTTATATTGAAAAATAGGTCTATTATACGTGGTGCTGTGGGCGTGCCCTCCAATCGATTTGACCCATTTTCAGTACCAACCCCCGTGTAAGCACTTTCAATATTTTTGCCGATGGCTTCATTTTTGCGGCCACGAGAATATTTACAACAGACAGTACACAGAAGGATGGACTGAGCGATATGGCTCAATCAGGTCAGAAATTCATGCCGGTCGAACCTGTGCACGTTGTGGCATCGCTGGGCGTTGCAAACATTTTAACAAATTAATATACCTCTCACCTTTCGCTGATGGGTAGAAAAATAACATGAAAGTAAAATAAAATTATTATGAAAGTAAAATAAAAGTACCATGAAAGTAAAACAAAAATATCATGAAAGTAATTTCTGAGAATCTTTTTATGGGATCTTAAAAATTGCTTTTCATAACATAGGCTGCTGCAGATATAAAGCAAGCAATCGAAGTCGAAACTTTCGATTTTCATAGACTAACAAGCTTGTGTTAGTGCAAAATTGATATTGAAGGATTTCATTATTGCCACTTCAATTTGGGAACACGTTATTTGATAACAAGTGATTCAGATTTGGACAAGCAAAACGCAAGCACTAACTTTCCAACCGCTGATTAATAAAAATGTCAAAATAACTAATTAATTCAGTGTTAAGTAGTGCAATTTTGGAAATTAAGAGTTCGAAGTAAGTGCTCCTTCATAGTACATTTCGCTATAGGTTGTTTAATATCCCTTCCTTATACCCTGCAATACATGTGGTACAAGAGTTCAGTTGGTCCGGCGCAGTCGCTAGGTTCAGCGCTGCATTCAGCTAGGTGCCGCGCTGCATTCAGCTAGGTGCCGCGCTGCATTCAGCTAAAAACGCCATTTTTGTTAAGTGCAGCACGCTCACTAAGTGCAGCGCTGCATTCACCTAAAATACGCTATTTTTGCTAAGTGCAGCGCTGCATTCAACTAAAAACGCCATTCAGCTAGGTGCAGCGCAGCATTCACATGAAATACGCCATTTTTGCTAAGTGCAGCGCTGCATTCACCTGAAATACGCTACTTTTGCTAAGTGCAACGCTGCATTCAGCTAAAAATTCTTTGTCAGCTAAGCGCAGCGCTGCATTCAGCTAGGTGCAGCACGCTCGCTAGGTGCAGCGCTGCAGTTAGCTGGGTGCAGCGCTGCATTCAGCTGAAATACGCCATTTTTCCTAAGTGCAGCGCTGCATTCAGCTAAAAACGCCATTTTGGGTAATTGCAGCGCTGAATTCTTTGCCAGCTAAGTGCAGCGCTGCATTCAGCTAGGTGCAGCACGCTCGCTAAGTGCAG